GATTTCACAAACAGGTTCTTTCTGGGCGTATTTGTAGGAGTTTGAGAAATTGGCTAACCGAGTGACAGGGTGTCGAAAGAAAGCGCCTCTTGGTGCTTTTATGGGTGGACTAAAGGCGGCAATAGCAGTTAAGGTGTGAATGTTTTGACCAAAGAGTTTACAAAGGGCTATAGACTTGGCTAAACATCAAGATGAGAAGTTGCAGAAAACAAAAAAGGTTGTGGGAAATTTCCATAATACTAATCGTATTCCGAGTCCTACAATTCCAACTACGTCCAATCCTGCGCCAGTTAGTGTAAAGCCTTTACCATCTTCGACAGTAAAGCGTTTATCATTTGAAGAGATGAGAGTGAAGCGTGAGAAGAATCTTTGTTTTAACTGTGATGAAAAATTTACCACTGGCCATAGGTGTCAAGCTTAGACATGTTTAATTGAGGCAGAAATTCTGTTGGCATCGGAAGCTGAAGCTGAAAAAGAATTGGTGGCTATAGATTTTCCAACCAATCCCCTTATTTCTTTGCATGCTATATCAAGGAGTTTGGGCAATCGTACCATGTGGGTTCGAGATGTGATTCATCACCAAGAACTTAATGCGTTAATAGATAGTGGCTCAAGCCATAATTTTATCAACCAATTCGTGGTCAGTCGATTAAATCTGGCGGTTACTCCTATTATTCCATTTTGTGTTCGAATTGCTAGCGGTGATAAATTAGAGTGCCATGTGAGATATGATATGGTGCCGATTTCAATCCAAGGATTTGATTTTGAAACTGCTTTATTCGGACTTCCTATCCGAGGTTTGGATCTCATCTTGGGTTATCAATGGCTTGAAGGGCTGGGATATGTGGGGCATAATTATGCATAGCGGTCTATGCAATTTACAGTGGACAATCAAAAATATGTCATTAAGGCCGAATCAGTTGGGCCTTCGAGGTTGGTCGATGCTAATTTGTTATTGCAGGAATGGAAACAGGGTGCCGAGATGTTCTATCTAACAGCTATTAAGGGTGAAGCTGAATTTCAACAATCTAGTATACCAGTTGTTGCCGATGAAATCAAGCATCAATTAACAGAATATTCCCAAGTTTTGGAGACCCCAAAAACATTGCCTCCAATGCGTGAATGTGATCATCGAATTTTGTTAAAGGATGAGTCTACTCCCATGAATGTGGCTTCTTATTGTTACGCCCATTTCCAAAAAAAATGAGATCGAACGTCAAGTTGAGGAAATGTTAGCAACAGGGTTGATTCGACCGAATACGAGTCCTTTTTCTTCGCCATTTTTGCTCGTAAAAAAAAAAGATGGTACGTGGCAGTTTTGTACAGATTATCGAGCTCTGAATGAGGCGACTATCAAAGATTATTTTCCAATCCCAACCATTGAGGATATGTTGGATGAGTTGTTTGGTGCGACTTATTTTTCCAAACTTGATTTACGAGCGGGTTATCACCAAATTCGTGTTCATCCTAACGATGTTCACAAAACGGCGTTCTGGACTCATCATGGCCGTTTTGAATATTTAGTAATGCCCTTCGGATTGTGCAATGCGCTTTCGACTTTTCAAGCCATTATGAATTCCATTTTTAAGGTGCACTTACGTCACTTTATCTTAGTTTTTTTTTATGATATCTTAATTTATAATAAATCTTGGGTGGATCATCTTGTACATCTTCGGATTACATTGGATATATTGGTTGCGCACTCTTTTTATATAAAGCCATCGAAATGTATTTTTGGCCAAACTGAAGTCGAGTATCTCGGTCATATTATTACCACAAAGGGTGTGAGAGTCGATCAACAAAAAATTGAAGCTATGATTCATTGGCCACGACCCAAGATAGTTACTATGTTGCCAGGTTTTCTTGGCCTTACCGGATATTATCATAAGTTTGTGCATAATTATGGTCTTATTGCTTGGCCATTAACTCAGTTGTTAAAGAAGGGGCAGTTCACATGGAATGATGAAGCCGAAGATGCTTTTAATAATTTGAAAAATGCTATGACTTCTACGCCAGTTTTGGCACTTCCTAATTGTTTGGAAGAATTTATAATTGAAATAGATGCTTTTGGATTGGGTGTGGGCGCGGTGCTTTCTCAGAATGGAAAACCGATTGCTTTCTTAGTAAGGCAATACGACCTGCAAAATTAGCGTGGTCTACATATGAAAAAGAGATGTTGGCGATTTTGGAGGCAATTAAGTTGTGGAGACCATATTTGTTAGGAAGAAAGTTTAAAATTTGCACTAATCAATGAAGTTTGCATCATTTGCTTGAGCAGCGTATTACTACTCCTGAGCAACAAAAATGGATTGCTAAACTTTTGGGATTTGATTACGAGATTATTTATAAACTAGGGAGAGAAAATAATGCGACGGATGCACTATCTCATAGTGGGTGGGATCTGAACTACATGCCATCTCTGGTCCTATTTGGGAAGTCTGGCGTGAATTAAGGGCTACTACCAAACGTAATTCAGTTTTGGGTCCTATTATGTAGCAACTGAAAGATGATCCATTATCTGTAGAGGGCCACGTATTGAAGGATGGTTGTATCATGCGTGCAGGGCGAATTATGGTGCCTGATTCTCCAGCTCTTAAGCAATCTCTTTTACATGAGTTTCATGAAAGCCTAGTGGGTGGGCATGCTGGCCTTCTTCGCACCTATAAACGTTTGTCTTTTATTTTTAATTGGAGGGGTATGAAACGAGATGTCAAATTACATGTCCAACAGCGCGATTCTTGTCAGTGCAACAAATATGATACTCGCTCCCTTGCTGGCCTACTTGAGCCATTGCGTCTTCCTTCGGGTGTATGAACTGATGTGTCTATGGATTTTATCGTTGGTCTCCCTAAGTCAGCTGGCAAAGATGCTATTTTTGTAGTTGTTGATCGTCTCACAAAGTATGCTCATTTCATTGCTCTTGCCCTGATGGTTTTGGAGCTGGAGAATTCTAAGGAAAAATGTAGCTGTTATGTTGGCACACACACTGAAGAATGTTGCATGCGGGAATTTTGTTTCATTGAACAAAAAATGCTGAATATAAAACATGGTTTGCACTGCTGTTACACCTACTCTACAACAGGCTTACAATCAAAATTAAACAACCATACTTTACTAACTACTACAAACACATCACATTACATTAACACCTAATCAACAACATATTTTTAGCTGAATTCACCTAAGATATACATTATAATAATTAAAGACATGCTGGTGCATTACAGTAGAAACTAACAGCAACAGAACACCAGATTTTTGCAGCTAGAATATGCAGCTCCAGTATTACAAAAATGTAACCAACTTCATGAGTTTCTAGCATAATATCATCTTCATCAACATGCCCATCCTTACAGTGCTAGGGATGTAGCCGATGCTTTTGTTAGAAATATCATCAAGCTTCATGGCATTCCTACATCCATCGTTTGCGATCGTGATTGAATTTTCATGAGTCACTTATGGCGAGAACTTTTCCGATTGCAAGGTACAACATTGCACACCAGTTCTGCTTATCACCCTGAGACGGACGACCAAACCGAAGTTGTCAATCGATGTTTAGAACAATATCTCCGTTGCTTTGTTCATGCAACGCCGAAACGTTGGGAAGCTTATCTTGCCTGGGCTGAATTTTCATATTATACTTCTTTCCATAGCTCCATTCACATGAAACCCTTTGAAGCGTTATATGGTCGTCCACCACCCTTTTTGAATTCATATGTTCCTGGTTCTAGTGCCGTCACTGAGGTTGATAGCACTTTACTTTCTAGAGATGGTATTCTTCACCAACTCAAAGTTAACTTGGACATTACTCACAATCGGATGAAGCAACAGGTTGATAAAGGGCGACGTGAAAAGTCTTTTCGATAGGAGATTGGGTCTATTTAAAATTACAGCCGTATCGCCAACACTTTGTTCTTAAACGTCTGTATCAAAAGTTGGCCAGCAAGTTTTTCGGTCCTTATCAAATTATTGAACGTATTGGTAATGTTGCTTATTGACATCAATTGCTTGCTGATGCCAAAATCCATCATGTCTTTCACGTTGCTCTCTTGAAGCGTCGACTAGGGGACCATGGGTTGTGCAGCCAACTTTACCTCCATATGCTGATGATGGTTTACCATTGTTACAACCGGATGCTGTTTTGGGTGGACGATGGCTTCAAAGTGCAAGTGGCAGAGTAAGGGAGGTTTTAATTCGTTGGACTACATTACCTGAAGAGGATGCTACGTGGGAGCCCATTTCTACTATTAAAGAGCAGTTTCCAAACTTCCAACCTTGAGGACAAGGTTATTCTCACAGGGGGGGCGAATGATACGAATATAGAAGAGGTCATGACATCACATAGAAGAAGCACAAGAACCAGCAAACCGAATATTAAGTTGGCCGATTACGTTGCTTGATTCACAAGATTTGATCTCATTATCATTTATTGTTTTACTGGCTATTTTACTTTTCTCTGTTTGGTTGTTTTTCTTTCATGGTTAATGTTTTTCATTATTATGGGACATGCATGTTTCCGAGGTTGTACGTGGTTGCCTATATGGAACCATGAGTTGTTTTGGAAGAGGCATTGAATGAGTTTTGCTAACAGTCGTTTGGTATTCTCAATACCCTGAATTGAGAGAGGGTTGGATCTGCACCGTGAGCAGAGCACACAGGTGTTCATTCATATCATAAACCTTAGTTTTAAATTTCAAATCTGATCAATTGTCTGTTTTAGTTGGTGTAACAGTAACCTTTTGGTTGTATAAATTGTAATATGCATTGTAATGAAAAAAGACTTTCTCTTAACTCAAATTCATTTTCATCTTTTCTTTAGTATTCACCGGCACTAAACACTAATAGTCATTCTGGAGCTAAACTGAAAGCTGCTGATTTTCACAAGAATATCCCTTCATCAGACTGTCGTGGCCAAGGAAAGAGTTCAATTCTTCTGTCCTTCTAGATAAGGATTCAATCACCCAGACCCTAAATGAGAATAAACTGCTCATGGACCCTGGAGTTTTCTCGGAAACACTTGAAGTGTGAGATTTGATAGGAAATGCAGAAGATCAAAAGAGCATTTTGTTGAATGCCCCAAGAGTTAAGGTAGTGCAATTTCTTTTTTCACATCAGTTGAATGATGAGCGTTGGATTTATTATTTTGTGATTTTACAGTTGGATGTAGACAAATGTATTTGCCTTTTAACTGCTGCAATGGAATGTGGAAACGTTCAGAAGAACCCTTTGAAAAGCCAAATGGATGAAGCAGTCAGCATGCTTAAAGAATTGAAGCAACTTTATGCTGTATTAGATGGAAGGTCTGTTTAAATATGGTGCTTTAGTTTTTACAATATCATCCCAAATTTTGGCATCTGTTTGCCAATTGCTGGTTATAACTCGAAGTTGTTGCATGGCATTTTGCATTTGTATTTACTTCGTGGTTAGATTATTTTAAACCCATTTAACCACTTAATATTTTTTTTTTAAAAAATAATTAATTTCAGTGGTCAGCAAGTGAAGAACAACGTTTCAACAATTAGAGAAGTTTGCAAGAGGTTGCAGTCAACAAGGCAAACAGTGGAGCCTCACTTGAATCAGCTATTGACAGTAAGATGGGGAGTATCTTATATAACTTATAATTCCCAAACAGTGGAGCCTCACTTGAATCAGCTATTGAGTAAGGCAAATCTCAGAATTCCTATTTCTGAAATTGATTACCATCTACTACAAGTTGTGGTGTGAAATTGAAATGGCCAAGTTTGTGAGTCTTCTGGTTGTAAGAACAAATAATTTCGTGTTTTTAATATTTCATGATAAATGCTAGCCTTAGTTTTATATTTACTATTTGAATTAAGGGCCGATTTGATCTCTGATTCAAGAATAATTTTCAAAAACTCAAAACAACAAATCAATTACCATCTTTTTTATTAGTTCTCGACAAAGGGGTCCTAAAATATGTCAATAGTTCGTTCCCATTTATAATTCTACTTAAAAAAATCTTGACTTAAAATGAGAATTTGTTAATAGTAAAATATAAAAAAGATAATAAATGAATAATTCTTTTAATCAATTTTTAACTTATCTTTATTCTCGGAATATGAACATGTCAGAATCGAATTAATTATGTGAAAGAGAATTAGGAGACTTTTGGTCTCTTGAATTTGCTTTAAGAAATATTCCCAAATAAAAAGCAAAGGTAAATGTGCTAGATTCTTTTGAAGTGGAAGTACTACAGATTCCTTGTTTTCTTCATTGCATTTGCATTTGCATGGAGTTCCCAAAGAAAAAGCAAAGGTAAATGTGCTAGATTCTTTTGAAGTGGAAGTACTACAGATTCCTCGTTTTCTTCATTGCATTTGCGTTTGCGTTTGCGTTTGCGTTTGCGTTTGCATGGAATGGCTCAAACCAGAAGCTGAGCATTGGCATAGTCTCACCTTACAGCGCTCAAGTAGGAGCAATTCAAGAAAAACTTGGGAGGCAAGTATGAGAACAGTGATGGCTTTACTGTAAAAGTGAAGTCAATTGATGGGTTTCATGGAGGAGAGGAGGACATTATTATAATTTCCACTGTGAGAAGTAACAGAAGTGGATCAATTGGATTCTTGTCCAAGCCACAGAGAATCAACGTTGCACTTACTAGGGCTTGGTATATATGCAAATATTGTTCATTGTGTTTGTTTCATTTTACTAACTACGGTGAATAACTACTATCCCTTTCTCTAGGCACTATTTATGGATTTTGGGGAATGAAAGAACCTTAACTCATGGTGAATCTGTTTGGGAAATCTTAATCCGTGATGCTAAGGACCGGTGTTGTTTCTTTAATGTTGATGAAGATAAGGATATGGCCAAAGCTATATTATAGGCCAAAAAAGAGCTTCATGAGTTGGATGAATTGCTGAATGCTGATAGTACACTTTACAGAGATCAAAAGTGGAAGGTATATAATTTCCATCGCTTTACTTGCTTTGTCATTCAATTTTTCCTACCATGGTTAGTGCTGATATTTTTAAGTGATCCTTTTCTTATTTCTCAGGTTGTTTTTAGTGATAATTTCTTGAAATCCTTTAAAAAAATGACGTCAGACCGCGAAAAGAAATCAGTTATTAACCTTCTACTGAAACTTTTAAGTGGCTGGCGACCTAAGAGGAGGAACATAGATTTTGTTTGCGAAACCTCTTTGCACATTATTAAGCAATTCAAAGTTGAAGGTCTCTATACAATTTGCACAATTGACATAGTAAAGGAATCAAATTACATGCAAGTTCTGAAAGTCTAGGATATATTGCCTTTGGAGGATGTTTCAAAATTGGTAAAACGTTTGGATGATATATTTGTTAGGTACACTAATGATTACATCAACCGTTGCAAAGAGAAATATATTAAAAGGTATGTCTACTATTTTCAGTTCTGTTGAAGAAATATATTTGTTTCCTCTTATACTGACTGGCAAACATTTCATTTGACTTTATTTATTATTTTGTTTTTGACTAGGAATTTGGAAGTTCCCAAGACTTGGGCAGGCTCTTCAGAAATTGTTCATTTCAAGAATCTTGCTGACACTAAGAGTGGAAGTGACTTAAGTGGAGCTGCTTCAGATAGTATGAGTTATGTTGAGAATTCGAAGGTAATCTGATAGTTTGTTGTTGATGAAATTCTACTCTTTATCATCAGGTGTAGTGAACCACCTACTTTTCGACCGTGATGGTAGAGAGTTGGATCTTCCATTTGAAGTAACAGATGAACAGTTGGAGATGATTCTTTTTCCTAAAAGCACCTTCATACTTGGTCGGTCAGGTATAGGGAAAACTACTGTGTTGACCATGAAATTATTTCAGAAAGCAAAACTACATCACATGGCAACTAAAGGATTCTATGGAGTTGATTATCATGAGCATCTGCATACTACCCAGACAAATGAGCTTGAGAAGGGCCTTGGAGAGGAGAAACCGGATATCTTGCGCCAACTTTTTGTGACAGTCAGTCCTAAACTGTGTTTTGCTGTAAAGCAACACATTTCTCACTTGAAAAGGTTTGTGGGTTTTCCATAAGAATAGCTCTTGCAGTCTGCTTTTCTCATTTCATTTAAGGTTTGTGGCTAATGATAGTACTTGTAATGCGTGCAGCTCTGCCCTGGGTGAGAAGTTTCTAGTAGAAGGCAGTTTACTTGACATGGATGATATTGATGATGCAGCGCAATTCAAAGATATCCCAAATTCTTTTGTAGACATTCTGCCTAAGTCATACCCTCTTGTTTTAACATTTCATAAGTTCTTGATGATGCTGGATGGTACAATAGGCAATTCATATTTTGAGAGATTCCGAGACAAAAGGAAACATTCTGGTGCCCAAAGTCAGAGTTTAAGATCAGATTCCTTATACACAATTATGAGGAAAAAGGAAGTTAGTTATGACAGGTTTAGTTCATTTTACTGGCCACGTTTTAATGAACAACTAACAAAGAAGCTTGATTCTTCAAGGGTCTTCACTGAGATTATATCTCACATAAAAGGAGGCCTGCGATCCATGGAGTTTGGTGACGGTAAACTGAGTCGAGAAGTTTATGTCCAATTATCAGAGGGAAGAGTTTCCATTTTGAGCAGGCAACAGAGAGAGATGATATATGAGATATTTCAAAACTATGAGAGAATGACGATGAAAAATGGTGATTTTGATTTGACTGATCTGGTAATTGATATTCATCATCGACTTAAAAAAGGAAAATATAAGGGAGATCAAATTCATTTTGTTTATGTCGACGAGATGCAGGATCTTACAATGAGTCAAATTGCTCTGTTCAAATATATCTGCAAAAATGTGGAAGAGGGTTTTGTTTTTTCTGGTGATACAGCACAAACAATTGCTAGGGGAATCGATTTCAAATTTGAAGATATACGATATCTATTCTACAAAAAGTTTGTACTGGAATCAAGAACAAGAAGCAATGAACATGATGGCAGAGAACAAAAAGGACAACTCTCAAATATTTTTAACTTGAGCCAGAACTTCCGTACCCATGCAGGTGTATTGAAGTTAGCTCAGAGCATCATTGATCTTCTTTACCGTTTCTTCCGTCCCTATGTTGATGTTTTAAACCCTGAGACTACTATGATATATGGGGAATCTCCGATTTTGCTTAAACCTGGCAACGGTGAAAATGCAATCATAAAATTTTTTGGAAAGAGTGGAAATGTTGGCGGTGATGTAGTTGGTTTTGGAGCAGAGCAGGTGATATTAGTACGAGATGATTGTGCTCAGAAGTTTATTTTTGACTGCGTTGGAATCAAGCTCTTGTTTTAACCATAGTAGAGAGCAAAGGTCTTGAATTTCAGGTGATTCATTTTTATTGAAAAGTCTTTGTTATTATTGGAGCAATAAACAAAGAGTTTGCTTTTGATATACCATTCTTCATGCTATGCCCTTAAGTACTCTTCTAATCTGTTTTGATCTTATTACTGAATTGGTCATTTGTGATCTAGTTAAAACTTAAAACTTGTAAGTTTCAGACTATTTTCCTTAATTGTCATTTCATTTCATCTTCAGCGTGGACAATGTAAGAAGGCATATGCAGGTAATAATATAAGATCGCGACTTCTGGCAACTATTCCTAGAGAAATATAAGATTGAACTTCTATCTAGAATCAAATCCCCTCCTCAAAATTTACGAGGGGATTTGATTGCTAAATACTGCTAAATTGATTGGTTTGAAAAGATTTCACTTCATTTATCCAAGTCCTTATTTTATTCTTCAGTAACTTCTATGAATCCTAATTTTTTTTCATTAATGACTTGTATTATTTCTTTCGTAGGATGTACTGTTATTCAACTTTTTTGGTTCATCACATCTTAAGAATCAATGGAGAGTGATTTATGAATATATGAAGGAACAAAATTTGCTTGACTCCACTTCACCTAGGTCAAGCTTCAATGAAGCTAAACACAACATCTTGTGTGCTGAACTGAAGCAACTGTATGTCGCCATCACTCGTACAAGGCAAAGGTTATGGATCTGGGAGGATAGGGAGGAAGTCTCCAAACCTATGTTTGACTATTGGAAGAAGAAGTCTCTTGTTGAAGTCAAACAGCTGGATGATTCATTTGCACATGCAATGCAAGTTGCGAGTACCCCAGAGGAGTGGAAATCGCAGGGCATCAAGGTGGTTTTTTTTTTTTTTTTCATCGTTGTTGTCTACTGTCAGTGCCACGCTTTAAATTGTGAAACCTTTTTATTTGATACGTTTTGCTCTTCCATTACTGCTAACAATATTTATTTTCATCTTCATCTCTCCAATTCTGGTACCCTTTTCCTAGCTGAGCCATTTGACATTCATATATAGACTGCATCATATACGCTGCATCGAAAAATCTCAGTCATGAGCCACTTTAATTTTCTTGGTGATACTAAATATTATTTTTTCTCTTTTGGCAATTATTTGTTACTTCCAGCTGTTTCATGAGCGTAACTATGAAATGGCAACTAAATGCTTCGAAAGAGCTAAAGATTTTTACTGGGTAGAAAGGTGTAAAGCTACTGCCCTTAAAGCTGACGCTGACCGCATCCGCAGTTTGAAGCCTGAAGAGGCTAATAATAAACTAAGGCAAGCTGCTATAAAATTTGAAGCCATACACAAGGCCAATTCTGCTGCCAAATGTTTTTATGAGCTGGAAGAGTATGAAAGAGCAGGTATGAATTGGATATTGATTATTTTGATGGAATATAACTTGCTGTCTTTATGTGCTGCAGTGTTGTGGATATACTTCTTTACTTAATTATCGTTACTGTGAAAATTTAGATATCATCTCAGAAGTTTCTCCTATCTGATGGTTTGTTGCTGATATATTTTGTGACGTCAGGAATTTGATATGTTTAGCATACCTACTGTTGAGAGTAGACCATAGATTTCTTTTAGATGTTCTCCAGATGCAGTTGTTGTTTTATAAGAAGGTTTTGGTATGCAATCTACTGTAAAATTGTTGCAGTCTTATCAGAAGGTTTAGTGTGAAATGAGTTTAGAAGCTTTCTTTATTGCTAGTTCCATTTCTGCACCAAGATGAGAGCTCCAAATGGACTGGAGACCTATTTCCAGTTTTTCGGAGTGTGACCTATTGCAATAATATTCTTCCATAATAAATTTTTTCTTTTTCTTTTTCTCCAGGAACTTCTCGCCCTTGTTATAGTAGTCAATGGCAAAAAGTGCTAGATGTTATATAATGTTCCACTTTGAGGTTACTAAATTTGACGTTAAGATTTCAATTTCTTGTTCGTACAGGCAGGATTTATTTGGAAAAATGTGAGGAACCAGAGCTGAAAAGGGCGGGGGAATGTTTTTGTCTTGCAGGATGCTATGAGCTTGCAGTAGAGGTGTATGCCAAGGGTAATTTTTTGCCAGAATGTCTGACTGTTTGCTCCAAAGGAAAGCTTTTTGATGTTGGATTGAAATACATCCATTACTGGAAACAACATGCCAGTACAGATGTTGGTACTGTCCAAAGAAGTGAAAAAATGAACAAAATTGTACAAGACTTTCTGGAGAGGTGCGCTTTTCATCATCATGAGCTCAAAGATAGCAAATCCATGATGAAATTTGTGAAAGCTTTTCATTCAGTGGATTTGAAACGTAACTTTTTGAAGTCTTTGAATTGCTTTGATGAACTTCTATTGCTGGAAGAAGAGTTGGGAAACTTCGTGGATGCTGCAAATATTGCAAAAATGAGAGGCAATATTCTCCGTGCAGCTGATTTGCTACAGAAAGCTGGGAATTTCAGAGAAGCATCTGCACTTATACTTCATTACGTGCTTTCCAACTCTCTATGGTCACCTGCGAGCAAAGGCTGGCCTTTGAAGCAGTTTAGAGAAAAGGAAGAACTTTTGGGAAAAGCCAAGTCATTAGCGCAGAATGACTCGTACCAATTTTCTGAATTTGTTCAAAATGAAGCTGACATTTTATCAAATGAGCAGTGCAACCTATTCATGCTGAGTCATCAATTAAATGCTTCGAAGAGACATCAGAGTATCAGAGGTGAAATATTATCTGTCCGAACCATTTTGGATTTCCATCTTCATTTGAGTACCTCTGAATATGGTTGGGAAGACGAATTAGTTTCTGATCTCGTAGCATATTCAGAAGACACAATTCATAGAAACCAGGTTTCTGTTGAGACCCTTGTCTACTTTTGGAATTACTGGAAGAATATGATTGTGAAGATACTTGAGTATCTTGAGCATCTGCAAACACGAGATGTTAACAACTGCAGAAGTTATGGTGATTTCTGCTTGAACTACCTTAGTGTATGGAAGCAATACAGCAATCTTGGTACCAAGTATCTTTTGCTGAACCCAGATGCAGAGTGGATTAGAGAGGTGGACAAAAGATGTGCTCAAACGAGCGAGAAGTTGGTTTCAATTGATGTCAGCAAGCTTGTCTCTGCTGCTCGGAGTTATTGGAGTTCAGAGTTACTTTTTGTTGGTATGAAGGTGTTGGAAAATCTAGATGCCATTCGCAAGCAGTCATTTGAGAATTCATCATCCGTGTTCTGCAAAGTCAGAAATTCTACTTACATCTATGAAGTTTCAAAATCTCTTTTGAATTCCAAGTTTCTGCATCACCAGCATTATGATACTAAGGCACTACAAAATTTTGTTGAACTATCAACGAAGCAATTCTTTGACTTCATATTTCCTCTAGACTGGCGAGAATCATTGAAAGGGAACTTGATTTCTTTGAGAGGAACTGATACTTGTAGGAATATAATTAAAGAAGTTATTTTTCAAAATATTGGCTTGAGAAGTCAGTTATCTTATGGGCAGATTGGTAGTGTGGTAGTTATGATTCTCGGGTCTGGTAAGCCGAATAATGAGGTGTTTGAGAATGTTGCAAAAAGTTTTAATGAAAATACACCATGGAAGAAATTTGTAGAGAGCCTCTCTGGGAATATGGGATTATGCTATAACATTGAACTTGTTCAGAAGTTCTTTGGGGCTTTGAAAGATATTTATGATGCCAACTGGAGGATAGGCTATATATCACCTTCTAATTTTCTGTATCTTATTGAGCGGTTTTTGATTATGTTGTCTAGCATCCAGCGGCACGGGTATATCTTGACCACACAGTCATCTTTTGTGGATTGGCTTATCTACCAGGAGGGGAACACCAACCCAGCTTCAAGCATACAGATTGATGTGCAACAATCCTTGAGACATGTACTTGACTTTGTTGTCCACATTGTTTCGCAGTTCCTTTACCATGAGGAGGACACAATGGAATGGATCAGAAACTCTCATACAAGTGTGGAACATTATCATTCATTTGTTGTTTTGAGATTGGTTGTAATAGTGTGTTTGCTTCATTTGAATTTTGGGAACTATGAAAATTTGCTCTTTGGCTTGCTTGGCAGGAACAATATTTACAACAAACTGCCTCGGGAATTTTGTGATTCCCTTTGCAGAAGATGGTGGTGGTCTAATTCTCTGAGTGTTAATGTGATTGCCGAAGCATTTAAAAAGATCAGGAATCTACTTGTAATTGTGAGTTTGGGGGGAAATTGTTCAAGATTTAGGTGTCAAGATGCAGTTTTTGTTGACATGAAAGCCAGCAGATGTAAGGAGATATTAGGTATTATGTTTCCGATGTCTGAAGCTTCTCAAGGCCATTCTTGAGCGGTGGGGTTGGAGGACTTGGGGGTGGATTAGGTGAAGGATCTGGACATGGGTGTGGCTTTGGCGTTGTTGGGGGTGTAGAAGGTGGAGCTGGTGGAGGCATAGGTGGCAGAGGAGTAACTGGAGGCAGGGGTGAAGGTCATGGTGACAGGTTTGGAGCTGGTGGAGATACTAAATTTTAGTGTATCTACGAATCGATTTACAGAAAGTCCCAACTGAAATCTCAAATTTTCTTTTGTTTGGAATGCTAATCAAATTTGTGCTACGTATAAATGAAAAAATTCGTGATTACTGCTTATGGTTATACTATCTTACAATAACTCAATTATTCTTGTTCTTTTTCCCTCTCCCTACAGCTGGTGTTACAAAGAATGACAGTGATTACAAATTGCTCTGACTTAAGGCAAACATGTTTGGTGATAGGGAAACAATGTCAGTAAGATAGTAACATCTTCCTTGCTCTGGTGCTCCGCCATATATCTTTATATAAGGCTATGGTGATCATTGTATAGAAACAGGCATAATTTACGGATTACTTTTAAACATAATGTCCCTTTTGTAGTTGTTTATTTGAATGGGAATGTTGGCTTGTTATGTAAACCATAAAAAAAAGAGGTGACAATCTATTTAAACTATTTAAACAATATGTTCTTTACTTTTGAAGGTAAATTGGTCATCGGAGCCAAATAAATATAGCCAAAAAGACCGCGGAGGGGCAAAAGAGAAGAGAATAAGAAAAGAGGAGGAGAAGAGAGGTGGCGAAGGAGAAAGAAGAAAAGAGACGAAAATCCTATTTTTGTCTTTGTACTGTTTACATGGGTTAATGGATTTTACATTTTCACTGACAGATCTGGGTGGAAAGGTGTCGTTTTGAAACATTTCGGGTGGGAAAGTATCTTAAAGTGAACCTTGGGTGGGAAAACGTAGTTCTCTCCATTATTAAACGCTGTTCTCTTAAACAGCCGCGCCGCCACAGTCGCCATGGGTACCAGACCTGCCAAGACGACCAAGGTTGCCAACTATCGCCGCAGGCAGCCCCCCTGCTTCATTCTACGCAGCCGTCTGTTCTACGGCCGCAGCCACCGCATGGTCAGAGGCGCCCGGCTGAGGGTCCCGCTTCTAGAACCCCAATGGGGGATGACAAACAGGTTGCTCCTCCACCTGTTTCGTCTTGGGCTGATAGGGTGGAAATCACAAACTCAGAAACCTGCTTCAGACTTGATTTCGTGAACATTGACGTGGTGGGCGATGAGCCGATACACTGATTCCAGATGAGTTGATTGCTGAGAGTTCCGCTTATTGGTACCGGTGCATATTGGGTTTCTTTTCGGGCTACATTATGCCTTTCCATGCCGCCAAGTCTATTGCCTTGCGAGCATGGAAAACCTATGGCTTAGAAGATGTGAAGTCTACGGTCGAGGGTTTTCTAATCTTCCGGTTTCGGGATGAAGACAGTGTCCACTCAGTGTTAGAGGATGGACCCTGGTTGCTTGGGGGCAAGTCCGTTATTCTGCAGCAATGGCATGTCCAGTTTTCAGTTAGAGAATTTTGCAAGAGGATGCAATCAACAAGGCAAACCGTGGAGCCTCACTTGAATCAGCTATTCTTGCAGTTGAATAGGAGTGTTAAAGGCTAGGCAACAGAGACGGCCGTGGGCGTTGACGAGGGTGTGGCATCAGAAGGAAAATGTGATGAGGGAAACATTGACAGTAAGATGGAGGGTTTGGCAGTTCCTATAATTTCTGGTTCCCAATCCCAAACCCAAGCCAATTGTCAGGATCAGGAAATTAAAAACAAAGGGATGGGAAAAAGAAAGCCTAAGAAAAAGAAAAGGGGAAAAGGTAAGGGGAAACATTAGTAACCAAATCTCAGAATGGGCTTTGAAAGATTTTATGATGCCAACGGTTATGGCTATAATCACCTTCAAAAATGTGAGGAACCAGAGCTGGAAAGGGCGGGGGAATGTTTTTGTCTTGCAGGATGCTATGAGCTTGCGGGGCAATTTTTTTCTAGATTGTTTGACTGTTTGCTTTGAAGGAAAGCTTTTCGATGTTGGATTGCAGTACATCCATTATTGGAAACAACATGCCAGTACAGATGTTGGTACTGTCCAAAGAAGTGAAAAAATGAACAAAATTGTACAAGACTTTCTGGAGAGGTGCGCTTTTCATCATCATGAGCTCAAAGATAGCAAATCCATGATGAAATTTGTCAAAGCTTTTCATTCAATGGATTTGAAACGTAACTTTTTGAAGTCATTGAATTGCTTTAATGAACTTCTATTGCTGGAAGAAGAGTTGGGAAACTTTGTGGATACTGCAAATATTGCAAAAATGAGAGGAGATATTCTTCGTGCAGCTGATTTGCTACAGAAAGCTGGGAATTTCAAAGAAGCATCTGCACTTATACTTCATTACGTGCTTTCCAACTCTCTATGGTCACCGGGGAGCAAAGGCTGGCCTTTGAAGCAGTTTAGAGAAAAGGAGGAGCTTTTGGGGAAAGCCAAGTCATTAGCGGAGAATGACTCGAACCAATTTTCTGAATTTGTTCGAAATGAAGCTGACATTTTATCAAATGAGCAGTGCAACCTATTCATGCTGAGTCATCAATTTAATGCTTCGAAGAGACATCAGAGTATCAGAGGTGAAATATTATCTGTCCGAACCATTTTGGATTTCCATCTTCATTTAAGCACCTCTGAATATGGTTGGGAAGACGAATTAGTTTCTGATCTCGTAGCATATTCAAAAGACACAATTCATAGAAACCAAGTTTCTGTTGAGACCCTTGTCTACTTTTGGAATTGCTGGAACAATATGATTGTGAAGATACTTGAGTATCTTGAGCATTTGCAAACACGAGATGTTAACAACTGCAGAAGTTATGGTGACTTCTGCTTGAACTACCTTAGTGTATGGAGGCAATACAGCAATCTTGGTACCAAGTATCTTTTGCTGAACCCAAACGCAGAGTGGATTAGAGAGGTGGACAAAAGGTGTGCTCAAACATGCGAGAAGTTGGTTTCAATTGATGTCAGCAAGCTTGTCTCTGCTGCTCAAAGTTATTGGAGTTCAGAGTTACTTTTTGTTGGTATGAAGGTGTTGGAAAATCTACATGCCTTTCGTAAGCAGTCATTTGAGAATTCATCGTCTGTGTTCTGCAAAGTTAGAAGTTCTACTTACATCTATGAAGTTTCAAAATCTCTTTTGAATTCCAAATTTCTGCATCACCAGTATTATGATATTGAGGCACTACAAAGTTTTGTTGAACTATCATATTTCCTCTAGACTGGCGAGAATCACTGAAAGGGAATGTGATTTCTTTGAGAGGAACTGATACTTGTAGGAATATAATTAAAGAAGTTATTTTTCAAAATATTGGCTTGAGAAGTCAGTTATCTTATGGGCAGATTGGAAGTGTGGTAGTTATGATTCTCGGGTCTGGTAAGCCGAATAATGAGGTTTTTGAGAATGTTGCAAAAAGTTTTAATGAAAATACACCATGGAAGAAATTTGTAGAAAGCCTCTCTGGGAATATGGGATCATGCTATAACATTGAACTTGTTCAGAAGTTCTTTGGGGGCTTGAAAGATATTTATGATGCCAACTGGGGGATAGGCTATATATCACCTTCTAATTTTCTGTATCTTATTGAGCGGTTTTGATTATGTTGTTAGCATCCAGCGGCACGGGTATATCTTGACCACACAGTCATTTTGTGGATTGGCTTATCACCAGGAGGGGAAAACAACACCAGCTTCAAGATACAGATTGATGTGCAACAATCCTTGAGACATGTACTTGACTTTGTTGTCCACATTGTTTCGCAGTTCTACCATGAGGAGGACACAATGGAATGGATCAGAAACTCTCATACAAGTGTGGAACATTATCATTATTTGTTGTTTTGAGATTGGTTGTAATAGTGTGTTTGCTCATTTGAAATTTGGGAACTATGAAAATTTGCTCTTTGGCTTGCTTGGCAGGAACAATATTTACAAAAACTGCCTCGGGAATTTGTGGATTCCTTTGCAGAAGATGGTGGTGGTCTAATTCTTGAGTGTTAATGTGATTGCCGAAGCATTAAAAAGATCAGGAATCTACTTGTAATTGTGAGTTGGGGGGAAATTGTTCAAGATTTAGGTGTCAAGATGCAGTTTTTGTTGACATGAAAGCCAGCAGATGTAAGGAGATATTAGGATTATGTTTCGATGTTGAAGCTTCTCAAGGCCATTCTTGAGCGTGGGGTTGGGGGACTTGGGGGTGGATTAGGTGAAGGATCTGGACATGGGTGTGGCTTTGGCGTTGTTGGGGGTGTAGAAGGTGGAGCTGGTGGAGGCATAGGTGGCAGAGGAGTAACTGGAGGCAGGGGTGAAGGTCATGGTGACAGGTTTGGAGCTGGTGGAGATACTAAATTTTAGTGTATCTACGAATCGATTTACAGAAAGTCCCAACTGAAATCTCAAATTTCTTTTGTTTGGAATGCTAATCAAATTTGGCTAAGTATAAATGAAAAAATTCGTGATACTGCTTATGGTTATACTATTTACAAAACTCAATATTCTTGTTCTTTTTCCCTCTCCCTACAGCTGGTGTTACAAAGAATGACAGTGATTACAAATTGCTCTGACTTAAGGCAAAACTGTTTGGGATAGGGAAACAAGTCAGTAAGATAAACATCTTCCTTGCTCTGGTGCTCCGCCATATATCTTTATATAGGCTATGGTGATCATTGTATAGAAACAGGCATAATTACGGATTACTTTTAAACATAATGTCCCTGTTGTAGTTATTTATTTGAATGGGAATGTTGGCTTGTTATGTAAACCATAAAAAAAGAGGTGACTCTATTAAACTATTTTAAACAAAATGTCTTCTTTGAAGGTAAATTGGTCATCGGAGCCAAATAAATATAGCCAAAAAGACTGCGGGGGAAAAAGAGAGAGGAATAAGAAAAGAGGAGGAGAAGAGAGGTGGCGAAGGAGAAAGAGAGAAAAGAGACGAAAATCCTATTTTGTCTTTGTACGTTTACATGGGTTAATGGATTTTACATTTTCACTGACAGATCTGGGTGGGAAAGTGTCGTTTTGAAACATTTCGGGTGGGGAAGTATCTTAAAGTGAAATGGGTGGGAAGTAGTTTCTCCATTATTAAACGCTGTTCTCTTAAACCGCCGCGCCGCCACAGTCGCCATGGGTACCGACCTGCCAAGACGACCAAGGTTGCCAACTATCGCCGCAGGCAGCCCCTGCTGCATTCTACGCAGCCGTCTGTCTACCGCCGCAGCCACCGCATGGTCAGAGGCGCCCGGCTGAGGGTCCCGCTTCTAGAACCCCAATGGGGGATGACAAACAGGTTGTCCTCCACCTGTTTCGTCTTGGGCTGATAGGGTGGAAATCACAAACTCAGAAACCTGCTCAGATTGATTTCGTGAACATTGACGTGGTGGGCGATGAGCCGATACACTGATTCCAGATGAGTTGATTGCTGAGAGTTCCGCTTATTGGTACCGGTGCATTTGGGTTTCTTTTCGGGCTACATTTGCTTTCCATGCCGCCAAGTCTATTGCCTTGCGAGCATGGAAAACCTATGGCTTAGAAGATGTTAGTCTACGGTCGAGGGTTTTCTAATCTCCAGTTTCGGGATGAAGACAGTGTCCAAGTGTTAGAGGATGGACCCTGGTTGGGGGGCAAGTCGTTATTCTGCAGCAATGGCATGCCCAGTTTTCAGTTAGAGAATTTTGCAAGAGGATGCAATCAACAAGGCAAACCGTGAGCTCACTTGAATCAGCTATTCTTGCAGTAGAGTAGGAGTGTTAAAGGCAAGGCAACAGAGACGGCCGTGGGCGTTGCGAGGGTGTGGCATCAGAAGGAAAGTGTATGAGGGAAACATTGACAGTAAGATGGAGGGTTTGGCAGTTCCTATAATTTCTGGTTCCCAATCCAAACAAGCCAATTGTCCGGATCAGGAAATTAAAAACAAAGGGATGGGAAAAAGAAAGCTAAGAAAAAGAAAAGGGGAAAAGGTAAGGGGAAACATTAGTAACCAAATCAGAACCCTATTTCTGAAATTGATTACCATCTACTACAAGTTGTGTGTCAAATTGAAATGGCCAATTTTGTGATCTTTGGTTGTAAGAACAAAAAATTTCGTGTTTTTAATATTATGATAATGATAGCCTTAGATTTACATTTACTATTTGAATTAAGGGCCGATTGATCTATTATGATGATAACGTGGGTTTAAAGAGGGAGTTTCTTCTTATTGTTGAGATTGAGAACAGAAAAGTTGAAGAAGATGAAGTTAAAAGTGAGGAAGATAAAATGACGAAGCCACATTAACTTATTTTATCATTACAAATTCAATTCTTTTTACAGAACTTATACAACATATCAAACAGCTTTGAACAATTACTTACAAATAACAAGTAGGTATCGAAAACACAGCGATTTCTGATCTTCTCAGAACTGGAGTTGAGCTGTTTTGCATGAGCTTCAGCTCTTAAAGTGCTTCTTAATCTTCAAGTGGTTCCTCACCACCAAGTACAGGGCACTTAGCATTATGAACACAGTAATTGCTGACACTTCCCAGGAAAGCCCTGTCCCAATGAACACACATTAGCCCATAAGAATTGTCAAGAAAATTTATCATTAGAATACTAATCCTATTGTGATGAACACAACATGCCACGATTGAGATAGCGATTGATTCCTAAGTGTTAAGACTAACTCTTTATTGCTCACGGTGTGGCTGCTACTATAAGCAATTGGACATTGAGCTTTTCAGCAGTGCACAAATTACTCTTTGGATTCCCAGGTTCTGTCAATGTCTCGCCTCAATTTATAGTAAGTAATCAATTTCTGTTAATGTTTTGCTAAAACCATTCCAGGATCATTACATTTGCCAATTCTCATTCTTAAACAACCATAAAATTGTAAAAACAAGAGTTCATCATCATATCCAACATGAAAATTTTAGACCAAGCGTCAGCGTAAAAAATATATACCCCAGTGTGGTGCAGATCTCCTTCGCTCTGTTGAGTAGAGCAATTGCACCTTCTTTTGATTTTCTTGCATCGAAGTTATCAAGTCCGGAGCTGAAAGACATGAAATTGGATCATAAAAATTTTCTCCCCAATTCACAAAAATTATAACTATTGCAAAAGAAGAGAAAACAGAATCAAAATCCCCAGTAAATATCCATAATCAGAATCATTTGAAAGCATACTTAATTAAAACAAATCAACGCAAGAGACAGAGAGAGAGAGAGAGAAAAACGTACGAGCAGCACCGTAAGTGGAAGATAAAATAAATAATCAGCAGGCTGTGCGGTGAAGAGATAAATTGAGAATTGGAGATGGTAACCGAGAGTTTCAAGAGCCCATTTGAGAGCGTAGTGTACAATCGCTCTCATCAATTGTACCATCACCTTCTTCTTTCCCTCTTCTTCCATTTCTTGATTATTCAAAGTGTTGACTGTACTTCAATTTGTTTCTAATCGGAAGATCAAAGATTATTGTGCTGTGTTGTAGTCAAAGTGCTGTATTTAATATAAGTACATGGTCTTACCTGACAATCAACTCACGTGTGAGGTAGTTGAGTAGTAAAGACGCGAGAAATCCAGAGTCTCCTCCATGCCTGCATATAGCAAACGTACACGATTGTGCTTTGTTTTGGTTCTACGGACCGTAGTCTGTGGGCGCCCTCACCTCACCTCACCTGCTGTTGGCCTAGGATGCTGTCATGACAAGCAAGCACTGGGGGTGTGCTGGCGCTGTCAAGGGGCGTGACACCCCCGATGATGCACCAAGGGCTAATGATTGAATAAGTTTTTGATCAAATAAATAAAATCACCTTTCTTTCACTATGCAAAGATAATTAAATATCAACTTAACAAGCACAGTGTTAACATCCGGCATAGGAAGGGAAAAAGAAGGGAGGGGCAGGGGGTATAAAAGGCTTAGGCAACTAGTTTTTCAAGGAGAGTTCTACCCAAACTCACAAAAGACCCACTGCTTAGCCCAATTGTTTGAGTTTTTAAATAGGTCGGAAGAGAATGGGGTGGGTATGTGGGTTATAAGGACTTGGACACCCTCCCTTAACAAACTGGTTTTCCAAGAAGAGTTCTATCTAATCCCATAAAAGACCCATGATCCAATCCAATTATTAAGTTATTCAAATAGGTTTCAATCAATTGGTATTAGAACATGATCATGCGTACACGTGACAACCTAACCTTGGGCCCAGGCTAATACCTCAAGAATTCTTATCAATTATTATTAGTATCAGAGTATGATCCTTCGCACATGTGGCCAGCTGACTTTGGGCCCGAGTTGCTATCATGAGAAAGGGCATAGAGGCTCGAGGAAAAAGGGATGTGCGTAGTCATCCAAGGGATAAAGAGGCTGACAAGGATAAAGAGGATGACATTGACATCAATTGCAAAAGCGTGATGGAATGTTAAAATCCCACATTGAAAGTAAAAGGTGTGGGCATATGGGTTATAAGGGTTGAGCACCCTCCCTTGACAAGTCAATCCTCTAAGGAGAGTTCTATCCAAACCCATGAAAATCCCACAGCCTAACCCAATTGTTGAGCTACCGAATGGCTCCTATCACACAATTTGTATGAAAAAAATGAACCAAAAAGAGCTACTGTCGGTAAAAACAATCTCACACTGCCAAACACAGATGACAACAGTTAAGTGGAATCCCTTGCATAATTATATACATAAGTGTAACAATTTCAAAGGAAACAACTACAAGAGGGTATGTAAGCATTTGATCTCCACGAGGATGATGTCAAAATCAACTTAAGGTTAAAGAATCAATCTCTCAAAATCCTCAAATCGTGGCCGATCGTTTCTTCCGCAACCCCCTTTTTTTTTATCCCAAGAAATTTGTCAGATATTGCTGAACAAGTATGATTAGTTTTGTAGAGCCCAAGACTTAATATGAAGAAGCTGCAAAAGGTATATTGTGAGGGAAATGTACTGCTGGTTCGGCGGGTAAGAATTTTGTTGAAAAAGTTCTTGTTGAAATTAAATCAGTTAGAATCTTCATGGTGAAGGAACTGAACAAATTTAGATCTCATCTCAGGTGGAATACAGACAAGGCGATAATTTTTGTCGAGCCAAACTGCTGTGGCCTTTGCCTCCAAAATAGGCTGCACAGAACATAACAGAGCACTGAGCATCATGACAGTTCATAAAAACAATATAGAGGATCAGTTCAGGGTTGAGAATGACAAACCTCTTCATTTGGCAGCTTAAAGATGAAGTGCTCAAAGTATAAGCGAGCTGCTGATGAGTCATAGATCCTCACCTTCACAACAAACTTATCTCCACTCTGGTTGCAAATGCACCATGTGGAAGGATAAAAATAAGAACATTGTAATTAAGGAATTTTTGCCATTAAGAACTAAACTCAGCTATGAATTGAAGCAAGGATATTATGCTAGCACTGAAACTCTTTTGTGGTTAAGCAAAAGGCAATCTTTCCCAAATATGGTCACTTCAATTTAAAGTTTCAAGAGGAACAAAGATAAGTATTTGTGTTCAATGATTTTTCCATGAAAGTTATTAATCACTTTAGATCCATAAGTGCCCATGTGAGAGAAAAATAACCAACCAGGAGTATTTTGTACTTACATGAGGTTTAGTTCCTTATAATACATAAGTAAATTGATATATATAACTAGACAAAAGGTTTAGTAATCACAGATTTAAAGATCAGAGGGCATACTCTTAGAGGTGAAAGGAATTTGAGTGACAACTCTGATAGGGCCAATGCATCACCAGTGCGGGCAACTGCATCACAATCGATACCAATCCTTTCCAAAAGCTCATGACGACCTGAGTAAGAAATTGAAGGAATAGCACTCAATCCACATCAAGACTGACGAAAAAACTCTCCATAATTCTTTAAAACATACATGAGCACGTTTCAAAACCAAGAAACTCCTACCACCTCCTTCATTTAAAACCATATTAATCAAATTGTTTAGGAACTTAAAAAGAAAATGCATTCAGAAACAAAATCTCCATTGTTGAAACCATCCAAAACATTTCCTCTGTTGTCACAATCTAAATCAATACTTCTCTAAAACCCAATTTGGAGCACAAGAGTTCACTTTTCATAAATTATAGAATGGAAGCTGAGATCTACCAAATAAGTCCCTGCCTAATACCACACAATTAGAAGAAACAAGTTAGGACACTTTTAAGCCAAAACAAGAGCCAATCAGATCCAAATCCAAATACATCAACTAGAATTCTCATCTAATTCTCTTCACTTAAAAACATTCAAAACAAAAATTGGATACATTAAACAAGAATCAGTTAAAGAAATTCTTACCATGTTGACAATAACTTGCATAGACAGCATTACTCACAACTCCATATTGGTCCAACTCATAATCCCGGACTTTGAGCTCAACATCATGAAACTCACTCATTCTACAAAACGTTGTCAAACAATAATGAAAATTTAAACTTTATGATAAAAATGCGAACTTTACCTGAAATGTAATAAGCCCATAGATTTTGTCAATACCCTTTGCTAGCTTTGAGGTCAAGAGATGCAGAGGGAGTGGACTTGGCGGCGGTCACAGTGGCAAGTGATCGGAAATGGCATGGAGGCGGCTGGCTGATTGGGAAAGAAAGTGGTGGAGACTTGACACCTGCATCGACAGGGAGTGCCACGTTGACAGGGGAGATAATCATATTTGCAAGGTCCTTTCTCGGCGCCTCTTGATCAAAATGGTAACTGGTTAATGTCTTTTGTGTTTTATCTTGGTACTTTCGCCTTGGACAAATTCTAAGATGATCATGCAAATGCTTTGTCCCATTTTTAGAACCACCAACAAGCTGTTTATGACAATAGTTACACTCCGCCTTATCCTTGCCATCAACTTTTACTTTCTTGAAATGTAGCCATACAACTGACTTAGACCTTCCAATTCCAGTACCCCAAGCATCATCAGGGGAAATCTGGAGAGGGCTTAAACAAGGACTATCTGCAAGCATTGGTTCGTTACTTTCATCAATAGGAGATTGCATTTGGTTACTTTCATCAAGAGGTGATTGCATTTGGGAACTTGCAATCGATATTTTTTTTGACGACTCGGAATATTGATTGATCTCCTCTTCTAAGCTCTTTCTTTTGCAAGGTAAATAGTTTTGAGTTGACATGGTGAAACACCCACACAACACAGTTGAAAAAACTGCATAAAACACCCACACAACATAGTTTATAAAACTGCAGAAAACGCCCACACAGCACAGTTTAAAAATCTGCAGAAAACACCCACACAACACAGTTTAAAAAACTGCAGATAACACCCACAAAACACAGTTTCACAAACTGCATAAAACACCCACACAACACAGTTTAAAAAACTGCAGAAAACACCCACACAGCACAGTTTAAAAATCTGCAGATAACACCCAAAAAAGTCAAAACACAGTTTCAAAAACTGCATAAAACACCCACGCAACACAGTTTAAAAAACTGAAGAAAACGCCAGAACTTTGTGAAATACTTCACCAACTTTGAAGGATTACCTCAAACCAAGATACCAAAGAAAAAAGAAAGTGTCCATGACCAATTGGTGGCATAAGTAAAGCCATCATACTCTTTGCACAACAATCTTAATCAAATTCAATATTATGTGGTGTATCCTTGTCACCAAACATAAATAAAGCTACCAGATTCCATGAGGAACAAATTATCAATATTCTGAAGGTCCATACAAAGATATTTATCTGATAGGAAGTAAGAATTTAGTTTTACAGTATAGAGAAAATCCCGCGGACAGGGGAAAAATAAAACCTGAAAGAATTAAAAAACTAAGAAAAAAATAAGATCTAAGCTATGCCAAAACGAGAGGTCCTAAACTCCCATTCAATGAATAAATTAAGTTCACAAGTGGATCATTTCAATGACTAGAAGTTGGCATCTGCAAGCACTAAAATGATCACAATGGATACATACCATTTCTTCATTACATCTTTTTGCACCAGGGCAAAAGAGAGGCCAACAAAAATTTACAGTTTCAGTTAAGTGTTCCATGAAGCTTTCAGCAATGAATTTCATGTAATGCTATATATGACATCATATCTCACCTCAATTTCACCTCCAAAAGAAGCTCCGTAAACCAAAACCTTTTTGGGAACACAACCACGAATTACGCACCTGTAAATCTCAAATGTTAGGCAGCATCATCATAAAAAAAAAAAAAAATCCTTATTTTTATTTTTTAGAAAGTTGATTAATTTTCAGTAATCATTCACTACTAATATAAAACGAGCACAATCCCTCAATGATTACAATGTTTCAAAGATACAATAAGAAGAAGAATCACTGAGGAAAGCACTGCTTTGGAACGGCTAGTCCTACGACCCAGCAGTACGCCAAAAGCAATGACAGCACTCTGTTGAGAATTTTACATTACGATCTTTTCTTTTATATATACACACACACACATTCTGTTGAGAAATTTGTATTAAGATCTACTCGGGTTTCAACATTTAAAATCTAACCAAAATAATAATAATAATAATAAGAAGCTACCCATGTCTACAGGGACCATATGAATAAAAGAAAGGGAAATCGAGATGTACTGGTCAAGACCAAAACCAGAGCTGCCAAGCAAGACAACAAGAAAAAAGGGAAATTTTTACTAAAAGCTGATTACTCAGCAGCAGTGACAAAACGGCGATTGTACTGCATGCGCTAGTAGGTACGTCCACGAAAACCTCACCAATGAGCCTGAACGAGGCGGCTGTGGCTGTGGAGACTTGAGCGGCGTCGGCTGTGGCTGTGGAGACTTGTGCGGCGTGACGGCGTCGGCCGTGGAGACTTGAGCGGCGTGACGCGTCGGATGCTTCAGCGGCGGAAAATAGAGTCAGGGTTGGTGGGTATATATATGGAGGGCAATTCTGTATTTTTGAAATATATCAAGGGCATTATGATAGTTTAATGGATCCGGGGCAATTTTGTAATTATTTCTAAATATACCAAGTAAAAAAAGGTCTCTTTAATCACAACTCACAAGTTATTTTATTTTAGGATAATTGTTTCATCCCCTCAATTTTTTTTTTTTTTTTTTTTTTAGGTAACGTTTTCTTTTCAAAATATTGGAATGTATTTTTACTTTTTATTAATTATGAAAAGATTTGTATAATTATGGTTTTACTCTTTTTATTTTTGGACCCAATAATAGGGAACCTACTAGGAATCGAGAATAGGGTATCTTGCTATGAACCGGGAAAGGAACCAAGGTTGAAATAGTATACAACATTGGGGGGTTTTAAGTAATTTTACATTAACGAACCAAAATCCCCAATCCGATTGACATTTGGGCAAAATCAAATTGGGAGTTCTATTATATATGAAACTTGAGACTTGTAAATTGTAAATTGTAATACATTAAATAATAAATTGATATTAAACTTAATAAATTGTTTGCACGACGTTTGTCTCAAGTTGCTTGTGTTTGCGCCTGTGCCATCCTGCTAGTTTGCCCTGTACTCACACTACAGTTTCATGCTTGTTCGTGCACACCTGTCCTATGCACGCTCAGCTACACGACTGCTTGTGCATGCATGCTGTGTTGATTTGTGTGAGAAGATTGATGGTGGCATGACGGTGGAGGCATAAGTGGGATGGATCGAGATCGGAATATGGTGGTGGTGGGATGGTGGCTGATGGGTGCGTGGTGGAGGTGAGGTGTGGTTTGGTTGAGATGATGGGGTTTGGCCGTTTGGGTTTTGGGTATGGAATATGGATTTGGTGTTGGATTAAAGGGTATTTTTGTCTTTGCATTGACTATACCATGTAGATAACAAATTTGATTAACAGTGGGTGGAAATGTCGTTTACTTCGATTAATAATTCTAAACTTTTTTGACAAACGAGAAAAAGAAGTTGACGATACATTATGATGATTAATAACATAATTAGAAATTATAATAATCAATAATATTTAGTTTCGTTTTGCACCATTTTACTATTATTATTTTTTGGATGATAGAAATATATCTTACTTTCTAAATAAGGCTGAACGATATACACCTACCCAAGGTTTGTCATAAAGCTAATTTGGTACCCAAATAGTTTAGAAATGACAAACAGGTACCTTCCGTCATTCTCTGTGAGTGATTTTCGTCTACTAAAGGGTAACATAGTAATTTTATGTAGAGCCATAAAGTTTTAAATTTTAATTATTTTTATCAAGGTATGAAGCGTAGCTTCGATTGGAAGATTCATTGGGTGGTTGACACATGTCCACAACAGTTGACATTGAATAAAAAAAAAAAAAAGAGTAAACGAAAAGTTGCGGCTTTGTTCTTTGTCTGCGAAGGTGCTTGAGCAACTGAATGGAAACTATTGATGACGACCTAAACAAAACCATCAACAATGACCAGCAAAACAAAAACTAGCGACAGGGGAGGACGAATTAAAACTAGCCTCCATGACAGAGTGAGCTTCATTGAATAGCAACGACACGTAAACAGAGACAATAGATGACGTGTGAGGGAGAGAACCGCTGGGAAGCAGCATAGGTGGAGGAATATTGAATATTGTAGTTTGTAGTGCTTTGGGTGCTGAATTGTATGACTATGTCTATTCAACTTGCACTACTCGCTTTGGCACTACTCTGGTACTTAAGGTGAGGGATTCTTCTTTGAAATTTAGTTAAAATATGTTAACTAGCCTTCCACTACAATGGGGGACATTGAATCCTAAAGACTATTTTGTGTACTTTAAATTACAGATGGTATTTTCCCACAATTATGTCCATTTTGTATTGCTTGAAGACACGACTACAGTGGAACTGGTTACTTCTTAATATGTTCAACAGTACTGCAAATCATGTACTATTTGATGGATCTAGTACCTTTTCACTCAACAGTACTAATATGGGTTTTTATATTCACCAACTTGCATTAGATCTTATTTTTTAAATTCACAAATAATCTAATTTTGAAAGTCTGGTGTGTTACAGTTCCCTTATTTTGAAAATCTAATGTTAAGTACTTAATTTAATGTACATGGAGTTCTAAAACTCAAAACACAAAGCAATGAGTCTCACCACCATGGAGATTCAAGTGCTAGAGAACAAGAAATGGTGGCAGTGCCAAAACCAAGCTCAACGCAATTGCCTCCCGGACCTAGTCCTGTTCGGATACAACATGAAATCAATATGAGTCGCAAGACTTGAAAGTCTAGTGTGTTACAGTTACCTTATGTTGAAACTCTAATGTTAAGTACTTAATTTAATGCATATGGAGTTCTAAAACTCAAAACACAAAGCAATGGCTAATGACACTCGACCTATTGATCTTATGTGCGCTTGTTAATTGTGAAAGACTTGTTGTTGTTCTTGGTTGTCGCAGATGGTGTGTATGTGTGAAGGTTTTTGCAAAAAGTATTTCCCGAGTGAAAGTATCTGTGAAAGACCTCTTGTTGTTCTTGGTTTTTCATATTTCGGTGCAATACTAAGTCGATTTGTGTTTGGACTGTAGGACTTGGAAGTCATGTATTTCTTCTTTACAAATTTCATTTGTTTTTGGATAGGTTTGTAGTTAATTATTCATATTTTTGGTTAGGGAGAGAAGGAACTGGCCTCTTTTTGAATTTTTGGGTAAGTCTGCAGTTACATTGTATTTAACTCTCTCTTCAATATTCATCTTTCCTTTCCAATGATTTAGGAGAATTTTCAATGGTTTGCATGTATTGTAGACAAGGCTAAGGAGTTGTCAATGTTCCTGTCATATAGTATTGAAACATTTTAGAGAGATTTTGAGGTATTGGGCTAAGCCAATAATGTTGCGTTATCTATGGTGCTCAAAATAGATATATACTATATTTTTATCTAGAAAGGAGATAAACTCAAGTAGTGGATTGGATGGTATGATCCTTGGTTTTCAATCAGGAGGTTGGAAATAAAATTGTGGGATCTGGCAGTAATCCATAAAGCCTAGCTTCCAATCAAGTGCACATGGCAAGTGACCTATGGCTCATCAAAAATAAAAAAATAAAAAAACTTTATTGGCTATATTTTATCAGTTTATTCTTTTGTGTTGTTATAAATTACCAATCCTTGTGCTTTTCTTGGCAAGTTTTGGCCATAATTTGTGAGGAGCTACCTCCAGATGGTGTTCTCTTAATATGTTGTTTAAGATTTTCGAAGAGCAACAGGTCACACTTCAAGAGCAATTAAATTTTGGAAGATTTAATCTCCACAAATACCATGCTCTTGAAGATTTACGCAACTTTCTAGAGATGCTAATAAAAGCATCTTGTTAATTGCTTCTGGTTTTTTTGTATTTCTTCACTATAAACTAATTTTATTGTATTTCATTCATATTTTATGTCATTTGTAACTTATTTTAATCTCTCTCTCTCGAGCTTGATTGAATACTTTTGCTTTGAATCTTTCATAATTTGTTCTAATAAATTAAATTCCCTATTTTTGTTAGCTTTCAATTGGTTCATCATCATGTTAACTAATATTGTTAGAAGTTGAATTTTTTGTATACATTTTCAGTTTTTAACTTGCTTGTCTTCAGGACAAATGAATTCCCCATGCACATATGACTGTACATTAAGATTAAATTTACGCCATCTTAGTGCTCTTTTAATTACATCTTCATGGATAGCTATGAACATGAAATTGATGTGCTAATGGCTTCGACCCTGCCAAGTGCATGGTCGTTCTAATAAAGCTGAAACAATAGAACTTGTAACTATAGTGCGTGTTTAACAAACATTCATAGATAGATGCCTACTGAATTAACTTATTCCTTCAGTGGGCTTCAAAATTGATAAATTATATTACATTGGGTAATTCACTTAGAAAACCAACATAAAAGTGTACAACAATGAACTCTCACTAATATGAAAATTGTCATTTAACATATAGAAAGTAGCATACAAATTCTCAATCTCTAAGTGTGTAGATCCAAACCAACACAACGAGAGCAACAATGTAAGATATTGTGAGATGGAAACCTAGTCTTGCATCACCTTTATCATGTCCCGTTTAACTACATTGACATTCATAACACATGTTCAAGAACGTTGTCATCAAAACCAGGTTGCATTCTTCCATATGCCACTTTTCTCCATCTAGGTGGAGTTAGAGGAGATCTATTTCTATCCATTTGCAATTCCACTGCTTTATAGCAACCGTAGTATGCTCTGCTTCAAATTGTCAACATTTGAAGATATATCTTTTGTTGGAGTAGGTGTCCTATAGTCAATCAATTATTGTGGAATTGACTCTTTGTAATAATATTTATTAATCAATAAAAGGCATTATCCACTATATCACGTAAATCATATTATATGTATTGATATATGTCCTTAGGATGGTAGAAATGTGACGAGGGTATCAAGTGTTTCAAATCTTGATAGTGAGAACCCTATGATCACATATGGTGGCCATTTTAAAGATGTCTGTAGCCCCAATATTATTCTGATCAAGGACACAAATAATACAGTAAGACTATCATAGTGTTGAACGACCCTGTTGAAAGGCAGTGACTAATCTCACTTGTCAAGGTTGTTTGCCGACAACCTGGTGCGACACATGGGTGCTTGTTGTAGGTAAGTTCACTGGATAGATCTACTAGAGGATTCCATGTGGATGTTAACCCTAGTGTCTATGGAATAAATCCTCTAATGGATAGTGATATATGTGATCCTTAGACTTGAGATCACCGGAGCGCCTTATGCACCAATTAGTGTAGTTGACACTAGCCCCGTAGTTCTATTCAGAGCTATCAGTACGATAGTGATTGGCTACATTGAGATTATATCAAGACTATGGTGGATCGACAAAGGATTCATCACTCCCGGGTATAGGAGAAGTTATCTCTTAGCGCAATTCGATGAATGACAATGGCACTAAAGTTGTGGCCACAGTGGGATTGAGTTGTTGCTCAATCCAATTTAATATTCCTGTCATTATTCCAATAACTCAATACAAACATATCGAGGATATCTAAGGTTGACACTATTTTTGTACCTCAGCCTCGATGAGATAACGGATGATGAAGGGATTTGATTAAACAGTAACCATACCATTGACAAGCTGCGATTTTGCTGAATCCAAATCTATCAGGTGGTCATAATGCCTTGTATGGGCCAATCTTGGTCTGTATGTAGTGAAACTATTAATTGGTGTTAATCGCAATACTACACACTGCTAATATGATGAGAAGTCTACGAGTCACACACTTAGAAGATGATTTAAGAATCAATTTGTGATAACAGTATTTTCGTCTTTCAAGACGAAATGATATTTTGATAATCTCGTAGTGCAATTAAATTTGCTGAGGTTATTGCTTGTATTTAATTTGATATTAAAATTAAATACGTGAGATTATATTTAAATATATGTATGCATATATTTAAATGAATTGTTATTATTAATTAAATGTTAATATATTATTATATATTAATTGATTTTAATTATAATAATAATTAATTAATTTAAAATACTAATTACATGGTGATTGGCTGCAAGGGTAAGCTTGGGTTGGTACCCATGGGTATTCCTTATTGGAATAGGGTTTTAATTAGTTGCATCATATAAGTGCAACTTAATTAAAACACAACATATATTTTTATAAAAACAAAAAACCCTAGCCACCCTATCTCTCTCTCTCACGTTTTCACTCTTTGAGTGCAAGAAGAAAAATCTTCTTTTCTTTGATTGTCTTTTGATTCTTGAAGCCAACAATTGTTCTAGCAAAACAATTGTCGGTCCTTTGGATTATCTTCGTATGGATTTTCGTGATTACGATCCTACATTGGATCGATGAGTGAAGAAGTACAGCGAACAGTTTATGTGAACAGTGTCTATGAACAATAGCCAGTGAACAGTGTTGATGAACAGTACTTGATGAACAGTGTTGTGAGCGAAGTCAGAGATATTCGAAAGAGCCTCCAAACATGGGTATGAACTAAATCCTTTTATGGATTTGTTTTTACATAGATTTTATTTTACGTTTTTATTTATGCATGAAAACGTTATAATCTATACTCATATCTTAGATGTGTAAGTGATCTTTTAGCTTTTAAAATTATGTTTTTCCGCTGCACAAACCTGATCACTTACTAACATCTTTCACAACACAACCCCTGCTTCACACAAGCCTATTCCATCACATATGATCCAAAAGAAACAACATAAATGCCAGACGAATGTTTTATTGTTGCAACATCCACTTCAAAATCAAATAAACCTGTCTACACATGGCAATAATTAGGTCCATAATCACTAATCAAAGTAATAACTTGATGAGGAAACTGCACTGGTCAAGAGCATTATATTAAAGTTACATAGCTGCTTGATTCAGTTGTTTTGCCTTTATTTACATGATAGCTACTGTATATAAGTATATGAATTGACTCTACCACTTTTCATACCAAACTTTAAATTAATCATTTGACAAATTTACCAAGAGAATATGGCTAAAGCTTCTTCTAAAATTGGATCCTTCATATGCTCTTATTCATTGTTTCTTGTTAGTCTTTTTCACATTTAAGTAGTTATGATGGAAACTATAATTGTCCAAGTACAGAGGCAACTAAAATGACTAAGGACATTGACAACTTGATAAGAAAACTCATTTACTTTCTGTTTATGTCATAAGACTACTTAATAGCTTTGACAACTATCCACAAATGCATAAAAAGCCAATCAAAGTCCCAAAATAGCAGAACTAGTAATGATGAATATCTCACTTTAGAAACCAGAAAAACTTATGTGAAACTGGAAATTATAGTCAGCTTATAACAGCTCAAACTATAAAAACAAAACCCCATTAAAATTTTTCTACTCAACACGCATTCATAATCATCGACACCATGAACTATTAGAATCAAAGTTAATATAAATTCAATTAAAAGAGGACTAGGGATCCATATAGAGAGACTCACACTTTTTTGGGCGAAGCCACACTGCTTCTCTCTCCACTGCTATCTCTCACCACGCTGTTTCTCTCTAACCTGTTATCTATCTTTCACCAAACGCAACAAACATCCAAACAGAGAGTAAGAAAAAAAGGAAACAAAAATGTCAAGTAGAGGAAAGGGAGGCAAGGGATTGGGATGAGGGGGAGCGAAACGTCACCAAGTGTTAGAGAGAAAACATGATCAGGGGATCACGAAGCCAGCGATTTGGCATCTGGCGAGGCGTGACAACGTCAAGCTAACGAAGATTCAACATGGCGACATGACGGACTCTGTATGGTTTTGGTGGTTAGGGTTAGGGTTTGGTTTGTCGGTGTTTTAATGGATTTTGTAATGAAATCTTATCAATTAATGAAGATTTCAAAACGCCAGAGAAGAAGGGAAAAAAAAAAGTGATTTCTATTTCATCAAACAAAGAGCGATGGAGAAAAAAAAAAAGAGTGATGGAGAAGAAGAAATAGAAATTTAGAACGATGGAGAAGAAAAAAAAAATTCATTAATTGATGTGGCAAACTTTCAAGGGCATTCCAGTCTTTTCAAGAAGTGTACCTTTTAACAGACGAAAATCACTAACAGAGAATGACAGAAGGTACATGTTTGTCGCTTTCAAACTATTTGAGTACATCTTTACAACAAACCTTGGGTGGGTGCATATCGTTCACCCTCCTAAATAATGCACCAACCTACAATAATACACAAATTTAATATTCTTGCTCGAAGACACAGGACAAGTCCATGCGGAACTCCACCAAAAGTCAAAACACATCAAAATGAAATAATTCTCAAAGCAAATATTCTTCTACCGTCCAAAAAATATTAAATTGGTGAAAAAAAAAAAAAAAAAGTAAATGTTTGGAATATACCTACGAGCTAGACAAAGGCGATGAGTGTTGACATAACCTTAATTAATTAAAACAATATAATATCAAGAATGTTTGCTACTTTAATTAGTAGATCAAATATTTACAAAACTAATTAAATGTTATATAATCTTAATTAATTAAAACAATATAATATCACGAATGTTTGCTACTTTAATTAGTAGATCAAATATTTACAAAATTAATTAAATGTGATAGACGGCGCCCTCAGTCATTGGAAGTGGACCCTAATTAGTTAACTAATTAGAAATAATGGCATAAGAATCTTATCATGTAATCTATTTATATTTTGTCTTTAGCATACCTAAAACCAAATCTCCATGGATTTAGTTTAATATTATATGACTCTTAAAATTATATTCCAAATATTTTGTTAGAATTCACACGAAAATTGCATTGATGAATTAATTCAATATATTGGTCAATTAAGAAATACTAAATCTATATAATATAACTATATTTTATAAAAATTGTTCTTCTTTCAGTATTTCAAAACTTTTTTTTATCCTTTTAACGAAAATTTCCTATCAACTTCCTGTATAAAAATATTGGATGACCATGAAAATTTTATAATAATTTAATTAATAAATAAATGTAAAAAAACAACAGTGGGAGGGTGAAATTTAAATTTATGAAACTAAGGGCGGGAACTTGCCATTTAGCTAAACCTTGGGTGGGAACATGTCATTTACTCATAAGATTATCTTAATTAAGGCTTAATTACATTGAAAATGTAGTTTTAATAATATGATAATTAAAAGGTGTTTGATTCATTAGTCAATTGGGGCTTGCGAGACCTTTCATTTTCTTCTTGATGTCAAAAGTCTTACATTGATTAATTTTAATTAAAGTAGATTTGGATGCATGTTGTTGGATTTTCTAGGTTAATCTAGGAAATTCCTTTCACACCTAATTTCAAATTTTTTTTTTTTTTTTGGGTAATCAAGGTATCCGAACCAACTTGCGTATACCTTAACTAATCCTTAGAGTCTATTGAATACTCCTAAAGAACCAGGTAAGTTACAATATTATTGTGGTAGATGATCCCAAAGTTTGAACCCAAAAACTCAAAGAAGAAAATAAACTTCCTTGATCGTCAAGATAACCAGGTTGCATATACTAGTTTTTACTCTTCCAATGTTGCCAATGCCAATTATTATAAAATTGCTTGGAATTTTCCTTTCTTCTTAAATTTGGGCCTGCAAACAAACTTTGAAGGCCATTTCCATAGCTGTGCTTGGACATTGTAGTCCACTTCTGAATATGGTCTATGGGCTTATTTCATAATTGTAGAATTGGCTAATTTTTGCACATAATAATAAGTTGGGAAGTTATTTTAGCCCCCACCTAATTGATCTTCATCCTTTATTTGTAAATTTATTTTTTGTTTTGACAAATTGAACCTTAATTTAAATTATTAGAAATAACATTATAATTTCTAAATATACTCATACTTTATTTTATATTTTTGTTTTAATTTTTAACATTGAAACCCTAAATTTTCATAATATAATCCTAAATTTTAGGAATCATAAAATCACAAATATATAGAAAGAGAGAGGCTTCAATTTCTCTTCACCAAATGTTTATGATATAGGGTTTATAAAAACCAATAAGAGTAACCCTCTTCTAGGATTCCAAAACCTAGTAGAAGATTTTATAGATATATGTGATTGAATAAGTTTTTGATCAAATAAATCAAATCCCCTTTCTCTCACTATGCAAAGATACTTAATATCGACTGAACATAGCACAATCTGTATAAAAAAATGAACCAGAGAGAACTACTTTCAGTAAAAATAATCTCACATTGCCAAACACAGATGACAACAGTCAAATGGTATCTCTTGCATGATTACATATTGCATAAGCGTAAACAATTTCAAAGGAAACAACAAAATATAATCTTCTACAAGAGGGATGCAAGCATTTGAGCTCCAAGAAGATCATGTCAAATCCAAAATCTTTATTACACAAACAAGTATAAGGTTAAAGAATCAATCTTTTAAAATCCTCAAATCATGGCCGATCATTTCCTCCGCCACCCTTTTTTCTTTTATCCCAAGAAAGTTGTCAGATATTGCTAAGCAAGTATGATTAGTTTTGTAGAGTCCAGGTTTTTATACGAAGCTGAAAAAGGTATATTGTGAGGGAAATGTACTATCGGTTCCAGCGGGTATATAGGCAAGAATTTTGTTTAAAAAGTTCTTTTTGCAATTAAATCAATTAGAATCTTCATGGCGAAGAAACTGAACAAATTTAGATCTCATCTCAGGTGGAATACGGACAGGGCGATAATGTTTGTCAAGCCAAACTGCTGTGGCCTTTGCCTCCAAAATAGGCTGCACAAAACATAACAGAGCACTGAGCATCATGGCGGTTCATAAAAACAATGTAGAAGTTCAGTTCAGGGTTGAGAACGACAAACCTCTTCATTTGGCAGCTTAAAAATGAAGTGCTCAAAGTATAAGCGAGCAGCCGATGAGCCAGAGATCCTCACCTTCACAACAAACTTATCTCCACTCTGGTTGCAAATGCACCATGTGGAAGGATATAAATAAGATCATTGTAATTAAGGATTTTTTGCCATTAAGAACTAAACTGGCAGCTATGAATTGAAGCAGGCATATTGTGCTAGCACTGAAAATCTTTTGTGGTTAAGCAAAAGGCAATCTTTTCCAAATATGGTCACTTCAATTTAAAGTTTCAAGAGGGACAAAGAGAAGTATTTGTGTTCAATGATTTTTCCATGAAAGTCATTCTTATTCCTTTGACAACCCAATGCTAATATTAATCACTTTAGATCCACAAGTGCCCATGTGAGAGAAAAATAACCAACCAGGAGTATTTTGTACTTACATGAGGTTTAGTTCCTCATAATACATAAGTAAATTGATATATACAACTAGATAAAAGGTTTAGTAATCACAGATTTAAAGATCAGAGGGCATACTCTTAGAGGTGAAAGGAATTTGAGTGACAACTCTGATAGGGCCAATGCATCACCAGTGCGGGCAACTGCATCACAATCGATACCAATCCTTTCCAAAAGCTCATGACGACCTGAGTAAGAAATTGAAGGAATAGCACTCAATCCACATCAAGACTGACGAAAAAACTCTCCATAATTCTTTAAAACATACATGAGCACGTTTCAAAACCAAGAAACTCCTACCACCTCCTTCATTTAAAACCATATTAATCAAATTGTTTAGGAACTTAAAAAGAAAATGCATTCAGAAACAAAATCTCCATTGTTGAAAGCATCCAAAACATTTCCTCTGTTGTCACAAACTTAACATCTAAATCAATCCTTCTCTAAAACCCAATTTGGAGCACAAGAGTTCACTTTTCATAAACTATAGAATGGAAGCTGAGATCTACCAAATCAGTCCCTGCCTCATACCACCCAATTAGAAGAAACAATTTTAGGTCAACACAAGAGCCAATCAAATCCAAATCCAAATATATCAACTGGAATTCTTATCTAATTCTCTTCACTAAAAAAAACATTCAAAACAAAAATTGGATACATTAAACAAGAATCAGTGAAAAAAATTCTTACCATGTTGACAATAACTTGCATAGACAGCATTATTCACAACTCCATATTGATCCAATTCATAATCCCGGACTTTGAGCTCAATATCATGAAACTCACTCATTCTACGAAACGTTATCAAACAATAATAAAAATTTAAACATTACGATAAAAATGCGAACTTTACAAGAAAAGTAATAAGCCCATAGATTTTTTCAATACCCTTTGCCAGCTTTGAGGTCAAGAAATGCAGAGGGAGTGGACTTGGCCGCGGTCACAGTGGCGAGTGATCGGAAATGGCGACGAGGCGGTTGGCTCATTGGGAAAACAAGTGGCGGAGACTTCACACGTGCGGCGGCAGGGAGTGCCACGTGGAGGGGGGAGATAGAAGCAAAAGCCTGCAACATCTCTTGACTGGCGATGGTGGACAAATTAGAAGCTGGGCGTTCAAAACCATGCGAGTCTGTTTAACTACCACTTGCTACCGAGGGAACTTTTTCTGGTTGGGTTTAGTTGCTAGAAGGGCAAAAATGTAATTTAACAACCACTTCGCCATTACATTGCATTTTATTTTTTACCATCACTATTTTGGTTAAAAAAACTTTTGAAAAAATTACCAACTTAGTAGTGGATATGAATAACCTTTTAGGGGCGTTTGGTTGGGGGTTACATGTGGTTATTGAGGTTAAATCATCTTATATTACTTTATTACTATGTTTGGTTTGTCAAGTAATATAAGATTCTGGTAATCTTCAAATACCAATAGTAATTACTATTAGTAATATTGGAGGTAATCTAATTACCTCTATTTTTTTAAGTATGGAAGATCACTTGGGTAATTTTTTTTTTTTTTACAATTCTATCCCTTATTAATAAAATTTTAGGACAATAATGTCCTTGTTTTTAAATTTATTTACATGAATCTTGCTTTTACCATTTCACCCCATTTAATTAATTTTTTGGACAAATTACCCTTGAAATCAAAACAAATTTCAGCTTACCCAAGCCACCACCCCCACCCACCTGCTACTGCCAGCCAAACCACCGCCGGCTGCTGCGGGAAGTCACCGGAAATCACTTGGAGTCGTCGTGAGTAGCCCACCATGACCGGGAGGCCCCGATATGGCCATTTCTGGCCACATTGATGGCCAAAAAGGCCATATCGAGAGCAGATTTGGCCGTTAACGGCCAGACCCTTGGCCTTTATCGGCCAGATCTATTCCGGCTAGAAGAGATCTGGCCTGATATGGCCTAATATAGTCGTTTTCGGCCGTCAATATGGCAGAAACGGCTATAGCGGAGCCTCATGGTCACGGTGAGCTACTCACGGTGACTTTCGAGACTTCCAGCGGTGGTTTGCAGTGGTGGCGGGGGGTGGGGGTGATTTTGTCATAAATAAAAGTTTTATATAAGCGGGGGTGTTTTAGCTCAATCTGAAATATTGGGGTTAAATTTTTTTTTCAAAAATTAATAATAAAAATAATATTATATTAATATTTAGAAAGAGGGTAATTTAGTAATTTAAATAACATATCCACCAATTTATTCCCCCTAACCAAACATATTAATATAACATACCCACCAACTAATCAAACATATTTTCCTAAAGATTTCAAATAATCTTCAAGGTAATATAAGATTCCAGTAATCCAACATTCCCTGAACTAAACGCTTTTATATAAAGGATATCATATAATCAGTAATTTAAAGGTGCGTAAATGCTATTCATATTTGGTTTCAAAAAAAAAAAGTAAAAGATTTAAGCATACGAAACTTTAATGCAGAGTGTTATGTCTAAAAAGTTAGGGTTGACGTAAGCTTACATCAGTAAGCGCCAATCAAATTCAGGAAGGTTTTGCGCCGTTTAAGAGCTGTCACGTCGCTTTATGACAAAAAGAGTATGGTTGTCACCAACTTGACAGATTCAGGTCTTACTTATAAGTGAATTAGGGTTGCGCACATCTCTAAGCCTAAGGTAATTTGAGGATATTTCCCAAGTAGAGGTGGGCATTTGGGACTGGACCCAAAAGCCCAATCCCAAAACCCGGTCTTAGGACCGGTCCTTGAGAGGACTTGTCCTAGGAGGCCTGGTCCCAAAACGGGACCAGGCCTAAGGAGGAGGGCCCGGGCCCTACACTGTGCCCTCTTCCAAGGGTCCCAACCTAGGCCCAAATTTTTTTACATATTTTCGTTTTAGTCCCTTGTATAATTACATGAAACCCCTTATAAGTTTTAAAATAAACATAAATTATAGGGGTTAAAAAAAATTTTACAAAATTTATTAAAGAAAAAATCTTCCAAGCCTAAAAAATTTATAAGATTTATAAATTTTACCCCTAAAAAATACTAAAAACCCCCTACAAAATTTCTTTTCGCCCCCAAAGTATAAAAAAAATTGAGGGAGAAAAAATAAATTTTCCAAGCCCATAGGATCGGTCCTAAGACTGGTCTTGGGCCCATAAGACCAGTCCTAAGGACCAGTCCTAAGGACCGGTCCAGGTCCTAGAATTTCTCATGGGCCTGGGACCGGTCCCAGGCCCATGAGCGACTGGCCCCATTTGGGACCAGTCCCAAATGGGCCCAAGCCTAGGCCTGCTTGGGACCAGTCCTTGCCGAGCTTTATTCCCAAGTTGTCGACCAATCGGACGCAAGGAGGACTTGCACGGCACCTACCCACTTGCAGATTTGTAATCATTACCTTAAATTCTTCTATTTTATATAAAGGACTCCCCCATTCACTTTTGGGATTCTGAGACTGAACCCTCATTCTGATTATAATCTTTATTTTCAGAGTAAAGATAACTTAAGAGAAAGAAACTGACTTAATATTCAGTTATTGTATCTCTGTTCGTTGTTCGCTATATGCGACTTCATGTAATCTCTCATATATAAAATAGCAATAAAAGTAGGATTCGTTTTAAGCATCCGTACCACTTTAAAAATCATTTTTCATTTATTATTCGGTCTTTGTATTAGATTATCATAATTATTCACATGTAATTTCTAAGAACTGCTTAACACTTTACACGTGCGAGTCGTTGGTGTCAAAATCTGAGCATCAACACAGAGAATCTACACTTATAAATATAGAAGGGTTTAGGACTAAATGAAAGGAATTTTTTTTTTTTTTTTAAAGAAAATCATAAGATCCTTTTAAATATATATAAAACAAGATTTGTGCTGAAGTGTGTATATCTATCATGAAACAAAAGTTGACATTATCTTTTCCAAGATTTGGTACTTTCAATGGTTAGAGGTACTAATTAAATTCTTCATACTTCTAACTAACAGAGTGGCTGAATCTGCCCATTTAATTGAATCCTCAACAGTTGAGAAGTCTCCTTCAAGGTATTGATAGATAGAATGAATAAGATTAGAATCTACATACTTATTATAATTGATAGTTAATGAAAAGTAATATCACATAATCCTTTAGAATTCAAATTGGAAGGACCCATATTAGTTCTTTTCTGTAGATTATTACTATTAGTTAGAGCTGGGCATTTGGGACCGGGCCCAAAAACCCAGCATCAAAACCCGGTCTTAGGACCGGTCCTTGAGAGGACTGGTCCTAAGAGGCCTGGTCCTAAGAGGCCTGGTCCCAAAACGGGACCAGGCCTAAGGAGGAGGGCCCGGGCCCTTCACTGGGCCTTCCTCCAAGGCCCGGGCCTGGGCCCAAAGTTTTTTTATACTTTATCATTTTAGTCCTTTGTAAAATTACAATAAACCCCTTAAATAAGTATAAATTATAAAGGTTAAAATAAAATTTTACAAAATTTATTGAAAAAAAAAAAATTAACTTTTTATAACCATTGGCTGCCAACGGTCACAAGAGCAGCCAACGGTTATAAACTAAATAATTATAAGTTTTTTTTTTTCATTTTCCTCCCCACAACTACACTATAAATAACCCTAAAACCTTTCATTTTATTCACACCAATCAATCTCTCATTCTTTCATTCTCTCAATCTCTCTACTCCAAATCTCCAATCAATTTCTCATTCAATTTATATTTATAATTTATTCATATAATTTATTTATATTATTCAAAACTTTTTCTATTTTTCAACATCATCATAATTTCGTATTATTATTTAATTTCTTTTCATTTTAATTATTTATTATTTTATCGTAAATTTATAATGTCTTCCCCAAATGAGTTTTACGTTCCATCCACCGAAGAAATTGAAGCCTTCAATCCATTTTCATCATTTCCTCCAGAGGAAGCAGCTGTAATTCCACAACCACATTTGGTCGGGACGAGGTGTAGCCAAACACATGCGAGCTGCGAGTCAACGGGCACAGACATAGCCCAACCCCCCCGACCGTCAAAGAGGGTCATGTCCGATATCTGGCGATACTTCACCAAATCAAAACGGCCAAAGACAAATGGGGAGGGGGAAGCATCGTATGGGATATGTAATTTATGTGGAACCATTATTGGCGCTGAGAAAGGGACTTCGACGATGCGACGACACGTAGAGAATAAGCATCCCCAAATAAATGCATCTTCAAGCGGATCAGGTAGACAAATTCAAACTCAACTTAATTTTAATCCACAATCCTCAACTCTCTCAACATGGCAATACAATACAATGTTGCACGAGAGGAAATAGCAAGATATATAGTTGCTACAGACTCTCCCATTTGTTTATCTGAAAATCCTTTTTTTGTTAATATGGTTAAAACTGCATTTTGTCCAGCATATACCCCTGTTAGTAGAAGTACAAGTAGAAGAGATATACTAAAACTTTATAACAAAATAAATAATAAACTTAAAAACGAATTTCAAAATTTTAGGAATATATCTATTGCATTTATATCAGACATATGGGCTTGTAGATCAAAAACCAATTTTTTAACTGTCATAGTACATTTCTTAGATCATAATTGGGGTTTACAACAAAAATTGATAGGTTTTAAACCATTATATGAAAAACATAGTGCTGAAACTATTTATTTTACAATTCTTGAAGTTTTGCAAGAATATTTATTAACTGATAGAGTTGTAGCGCTAACGCTTGATAATGCAGTTGCTAACACCGCGACAATCTCTTTATTTGAAAAGAAATTGGATCCGCTTGGTGAAGACAAATTTTATCACCAGAGATGTGCTTGTCACATCATCAATTTGATAGTTAAAGCAGGTTTAGATGCTATACATTCAAAGATGGAGAGGGTGCGTAGAGCTATTGGATTTATCGTCGGCGGTAGCAATAAAAGATGGCAGGAGTACGTCAAATATTGTAAGCAAGAGGAGCCACCGGTTCGACCTTTGAAGTTATGTACAGACATGCCTATCCGTTGGAACTCTACCTACTTGATGTTGGAAAAAGCTTTGCCAACCGCGAAACAAATTACAGATTTCGTCAACCGGAAGAACTATCCAGAGGAAGTTGTCAACTATGATGATTGGGCGGTTTGTGAACTTTTTTATTCATTTCTTAAAATTTTTTATGATGCTACTAATACATTAAATGGTATTTATTATCCAACTACTAATTTAGTGTTAGATATTTTACTTCAAATTGCTAAAACTTTTGCTCAATATAGATATGATAACATTTTAAGTGAAATTATTTCAAGTATGGAAGAAAAATATAAGAGATATTGGTTAGATATTCCATTCTTATATGGATTAGGCCTTTTTCTAAATCATAGGTTTAAATTATCCGTAGTTAACGGTGTAATTACTGAGTTAGGCCATTATTTAGGACATGATCATACATCTTATTTGACTAACTTTAAACACAAATTGGATAGGCTTTTTTCTTTATATGAGAACAAGTACAATGGAAGTGGAAGTGGAAGTGGAACGTCTAGGAGAGGCGATCAGGGCCTTGATGTAGCCCCCCCTCAAGGATCGAGCAAGTGGGCGTATGTGGAACGTGGCGGAAGCTCCAGCTTGTACATACATGGACCAAATGAGATGACTCGCTACCTACAGGTGGACCTGACCTTTATGACGATGAACGAGCAACTTGACATGGATATTCTTCAATGGTAGAATCAACATGAAAGTCTATTCCCCATTATATCCCAAATGGCACGTGACATTTTATCTGTGCCAGTTTCTACAATTGCATTCGAGTCAATATTTTCAACGAGTGGTCGGATTATTGAAGACAGAAGATGTTCTTTAACCGATGAGATGATTGAAGTGATAACGTGTTTACGGGATTGGACTCATGCAGAAAGAAGACTACAACAGCACCCTGAAGATCCTGAACTACTCGAACTCTTTAGGAATACAGATTTAAATAATGTAACTAGTGTTGGCGATGAAATTGAAGATGAATAATTTAATTAAAAAAATTTATTTAATTGTTTATTTGTGAAGCGTGAATATGTGAAATGTGAATATTACATTTATGTTAAAAATTAAAATTAACTAGTAATTTATTATTTTTTAAAATTAATTAAATTTTTAGAAACTTACTAATCAACCCCTAAAAAATCCTAAAAACCCCTTATAAAATTTTGTTTTACCCCCAAAATATAAAAAAAAAAATTAAGGGAGAAAAATAAAATTATCCAAACCCCATGGGACCGGTCCTAGGACCGGTCTTGGGCCCATGGGACTAGTCTCAACTAGGCCTAAGGCCTGGTCTGGGTCCTGATTTTTCTCATGGGCCTGGGACAATGAGTGACTGGTCCCATTGGAGACCAGTCCCAAACGGGCCTAGGCCTGGGCCCGCAAGGGACGGGTCCCTTGCCCAGCTCTACTAGTATCAGTAGACTAAAACATATATGATTTTGGTCTCTTTTCACTTTAAACAAGATGAGATATGTATTATATACTGTGATGATGTGAAAGGACAGTGTGAGTTTCTTTTGTCCTTCCAAATTAAGGGCAAGGAACCCACCCTCCTGATAGGTCACTCATTCTCTTCTGGTAAGTAGATTGATATAATCAATGGCCCTATTGAAACTGTCTCATCTACGTATCTCAATATCTCTGAGATGCAATGTACCTGCCTTTTCATAACCACCATTTCTCAACCATTCACTATATAATTCTCTACCAATAATCAAACTTTTGTGAGATCATCTTTTATAGCCAAGATTTATTACTATTACGAGAATAAAAGAGCCTTTTACAACAGGATTTTAATACTACCGTGAAAAACCATTGCAGAAGTTATTCTTTCTAGTAATTTATTACATGAACATAAAAGAGATACAACACAAATCAGAAACTCAGATCAATCTCAAATATAATAATAAGAAGAAGAAAATACAAGATACTGATATCGTTTCGTTTCGTTTAATGATTATTTCCATCAGTAGTCATGGATGGAATATCAGATATACAATTTTTTTTTTTTTCCCCCTTTTTTGCAAGTATATGGAGTTTTATATCTAAGAATGAAAGTAAAAGCAAATTATATTAAAGGATGAATGGTTTCAAAGAGACCATGTAGAGTGGAAGGAAGAAGGGCCTCCATACCCTTCTCTCACCATCCTCTCCATCTCTCGTGCATCATAGGCATATGTTCCCTACAACATCACAATTGCATTAAATAAAAAACTCAATCGCTCTAAAACAAATAAATTAAACTAAAATATATATTTATTTTCTAATTTACCTGCATGGTTTCTGTAGCATCGAGCTCCAAGTTGAAGTCATAATACATGCTAGCTGCTGAAAGCTTCATTGACAGAAACTGGAAGCAGCATACCAGAGAATTTGTTATTCAAACTTTAATGTAAACAACAGAAAATGAATTTCTTGATTGAAGACCAACCTCAATTTGATTCTGCAGAGACCGAACATAATTTATAATTACATCCAACATCACTGCCATTCCCATTGTCTGCAATTTTATTCATAAAATGTAACATTCATTAAATCTTACACAAACAGAGAGTATAATATAATTTTTTTTTTTTTTTTTTATTTCTTACCTTGTAGCATCCTGGAACGAGGTCCTGTAAGCACCTCAACCTTTCATTTATTTTCTCTCTTCTTACCTAACATCAAATAAGAGCTAAACGTCAGGAATACCGAGTGTCCGCAACTGAGAATTTTCATATACGAGAAAAAATATTTATACCCTTTCTGCCAAACTGTGACTATCAGTAGCTTGACCTCTTTTTGCTCTCACATGGATAACTTCTTTTGGTTTCTCCGCCACTTTCTCACTGTTTCTCTTTCTTTTTCTTCCACTCAAGCTCTGCAAAAATCAAACAGAAAAACTATTACTTTCATTCTGCAGAAACTAAAAATCAAGAAATTAAAAAACAAAAAGCTCATCTTGACCTCATTATTTGCAGAAACAGGAGGAGAAAAATTCACCAGGCTGTCAACAGTAAGCGCCGGCTTCCGAATCCTGCTATCAGGATTGAAATCGCCTGCCAATCCTAAACCTGGCACACCAGTTTGGTCTCCAGGATGTGTAAAGCTCTGAATATTATCGGTAAAGTTGATGGCAAGCTGAGTCTGTTGATGACCAAAGAAGCTGCCATTAGAAAAAACCATGAAGGCGTTATCAGGATTACTAGAGTTCTGATTCTCCATTGCACTCTGAAGTCTGAAAGGTTTCAGAAACCTCAGGTGATGAGAGACTCAAAGGTTTCAGAAAACTCTATGAATGTTTTGATAGTATTTGTGCATCATATTTATATGCAATATATGAAATCTTCCAAGCTCTAATTGCAGAAAAGGGTTATATAAATATTTTTATATTTAATTTTCCTGATATGATTAAAAGGAAATAATGAAGGTGGCTATCTGATTGCCACTTGTCAATGTGTTATAGATTGATGAGTAACAATGATAGGTCCACATTTAGTTGATAAATCCAGTAAGTGGGACCACTGCTTGTCTTTGATTGAGTATGGTCCACATCTAAGATTCAATCTCATTCATATGAAGAATTTATGGGAAATGACATAATCTTGATTTAAGAAATAAATTCAATTCAATTCTTAATTTGTTCAGAATTCAGCTTCTGTAGAGTTAAACTAGAGTTTGTCCAAATCCTCGCTCAAGAAATAGACCCTTCTCTGCAAGTCAAATCCTAAATCTCTAACCTTACAGCTCATTCTTAAATTTCGATGAAACAGGAGAAAAATGAATTCTGAAGTCACACATATCATTAAATTATGATAAAATTAATCTATACAAATCAGATTTTGTATGTCTTGAGATCTAAGCTTGCGTCGAGTTATTTAATTCAATTTATTCTTACTTTCCAAGGACGATTATTTGAAAAACAAAATCAAATCTGTGTGGAGTAAACTGAAAGTGGACAATATCTACTCAGTTAAACCTGAACTCTTATATGTAAGAAGGCTTGTAGCTTAGGTTAATTTATAAGTCTTCGGTTCTACCAAGTAAGTAGATGTGTTCCTGATGAAGGACGAAACAAATCTGTGCACGCTAAACACAACATCTTGGTGGTAATTGCATAGACTTTTATTTTCAACTAGAATTATCTTCTGTATGAGCTGGTAACATCTACCAACAACTTAACCATTTCAGGATGCTCATAATCTAGAGAGATTGTTGACAGTATTGACTAAAATTGATCTAAATTTGGAAATTTGCTGCCCAATTGAATGTCCAAGATTCTCACAATAAAAACCCTCCATGTAGGCCTGCTGAAAACTCCAATAAATATAAATTTGCTGCTTGAAAATCTCTTCCACTGAGATTGTTAGCAACCCAGAATAGTATTTTAACTAAATTATTTATGAACCACTGCAATGGGACTGTGATTTCTTTGTCAGCTTTGAATTGCATGGACGTTTTATATATATATATATATATTGCAGGTGCTTAATGTCAACTTTGAGTTTGTTCAAAATCGCCAAACCCATCCTCAATTGTTGGAACTGGAGAGTGGTTTTGGTTGACAGAAATTTTGCCAGAAAGTGAAAGAACCATATGTGATTTGAGATTGTCAACATCCCCATTAAGACTTCTTAATCTTACACCACTAATGCTTTTTCTTTTGATTAATTATTTATTGATTTTTGGTTTGGCCAAGTCTAGAAGAATTAGAGAGCGATAAGCATAAGGAACATCAAATTTATGAGAACGATCACAAAAGCTAAAATTGTTTGTTTTCTAAATTCGATTTTGAGTTTCAAACAAACGTCCAAAAATCCTTTGCATTTGTTTCGCATGCACGAATTCGAAACTGTAATCTCTATGAGTTCGAAATTGGAACCCCTGCCAAATCGTGTAATCTACCTTTGACCAGGCATGTGCCTCTCAGTGGGCTCAAACCTCAAATTTTGTGGAATTGTATAATCTTTGAGAATCGAGAAACAATGACCTTTAGTCATACATGTATCTATGCGGGGACTTAGATACCTATGATAAAGTGAGTTTAAGTAGAACTCAAGCCCAAAAGCTAGCTCAAGAGATGAGGGTTTAAGTAGAACTCAAGCCCAAAAGCTAGCTCAAGTGAGAAGAGAGTCTAATTACAAAATACTTAAACCCAAAAGCTAGCTCAAGAGAGGAGGGAGTCCAACCACAAAAGCTAACTCAAAGAAGAAGAGAGTTCAACCACATATATAGACAAATTCAAGCCCCAATACCCTCCCTCACGCTCGGCGTGCAAGGTTGAGTTCAAACTCATTATCGCCTCAAACAAACGTGGTTTTGATACCATGATAAAATCGGAAGTAAAACTCACTCACAAAAGTTAGCTTAAGAAATGATGGAGCCCAAACATATATATACACCATAACGGCCCACCAACTTAGTGATGTGGGACAAATTCAACTTCAATAACCTAAACCTTATGACAACAAACCACCGACTTGACCTTCCGACTAAACCCTCACGTGTTCTTATCCATAAAAAAATATGATTTACAAGATAAGTTTATTTGAAGAGAAAAGACAGCGAATAAGAATACATAACAAGTATAGCATGGAAGTCACAATCCAAGGAAATGGACCATTGAGATTGTGATTGAATCAGTTCCATTGAAAATGACAAAAGTTTGTATGAACTTGAATTCTGGGAAGATAGGGCATGGAAACTCAACATAAAAGCTAATGAAGCCAAACTTCAATTTGGCTCTCTTAAGAGCTTTCTTTTTTTGCCTTCCAACTACAGTATAGTTATTATTAGATAATGTTCAATGATTTTAAGAATACCCTTTAACTAACTCCAATAATTGACGGCTTCCAGTGAGGCCAAAGGACAATGAAAATGAGAGATTTCCATTTAAAAACATGTGAATGAAGTAAGGGTATCGTAATTTGTTGGTTCTAATTTCATATACTAGTTCAGTTTCTCTTGGCATCTAATGAGAAAGAGAGACTGAGTTTAGCTTTGGCATCAAATTTACGGTCTAGGAAAAAATGTGAAGCAATTCTGGGTAATATAAGGTCTTGCCATCTAGCCACTAGCCAAGTGATTAAAGAGTCGGATGGCAAGATCTTAAGTTACCCAGAGGTCTTGTGTTTGAGTTTTATTAAGTGGCCACCTACCACATTTGTGACTTACTTGATTCATTGGATTTGTATGATATTCAATGGATCTCGAAGATTAATTGAGATACATGCAAACTGATCTAAACACCCCAATTACCAAAAATAATAATAATAATAATAATAAGGCCCCTTAGTACACAATTTTTCACTACTTTATTCCCTATTCTATCCAAAATACATATTCATTTCCTTATTCTCAAATTATTATTCTATATTATTCAATTCTTTTTAAACCCCCTAGATTTATTAATTTAACTAAACACCCCCAAAACAAATTTTAGAAATTGACAAAAACACCCCAATAAGCCACATTTGCCAGATTCCAGCCACCACCACTGGATGCTGGCCGGAATCTGGTATAATGGTACACTACCGGCTGGATCTGGCATGTAGTGAACTGATCTGACCTTTTTCGGCCAGATCCACTGTGGATTTGACTGGAAAATGCCAGATCTACTGCCAAAGATCTAGTTGTTAACGGCCAGATCTTTGGCTGTAGTTAGTCGTCAATGATAGCCATATCTTTGGCCATCATTGACGACCAAATGTAGCCAGATCTGGCCGTCAATGGCCAGACTAGCCGTAGATCTGGCATTTTTCCACCAGATCCACCGTGGATCAGGCCAGAAAAGGTCATATCGGCGCTTGACCGATCAGATCCAATCGATAGTGTCTCAATAAAGCGACTCCAGCCACCCTTCGGCGACGATGGCCGGCTATCGGTATTTAATGGATGGGTGGGGGTGTTTTTATTAATTTTTAATATTTTATTATAGAGGTGTTTAGTAAATAAAAAAACTTAGAAGAGTATTTTTGTTAATTTCTAAATCCTATATCGTAATAATCATCCAATTTTACTTTTTTTTAAATATTATTCTAAAAAATATAGAAAAATGAACCAAGTGTAACTTTCACTAATTGAATTGTTATGACTTATGACAAACACTGTTGCCAAAATGGCTAAAAATTGGGCCTCAGTAGAATTGGATCAGCCCTTGTAAAGTTCCAGTAAAGTCTGTTTGGGCTGAAAACTTTGGGTAATAGGCAAGTGCCCATGACTATGAAGACACTAGATATTTCCACAAGTTAGTATTAAAATAATATATTATAAATGTTTGAGAAAGTGTATTCAACAGTTGTCTAACTATGACTTTGATATTAGATTTCCGAGAAAAACAGTTTACCAAGAAAACTATTCCTTCTAAAGACAAAGTTTAAGCAATAAAATAGTAGCATCATGGACGTAAAAATCAATGACAATGTAATAGTAAATATAAGAAAAAGAGTGAGGTTTTTTAGTGTCATATCTAATCAAACACATTGACTTTAGGGTTCATCTTAGAACGACCAGTTAAGTTTCAAAACAATCATTCAAAATTTCACACATTATATGATTAGATCTTCAAGTTTAAGTCAAACTAGCAGCCAACTCAGGTTGGCAAGTGCTTCACAGCTACAAAATTAACGTCTCTCTCTTACCAGGTTTGCACATGCACCACCTCTCCTGTCAATGCTTATATGACTTGACAGAATTGATCTTAACTTGTCAGATATGCAAACCATATTCATCATTAAAAGAATGTACCAACTTATGATATGGGTTGTATCTTTGACTATTAAGTAGTCGCAATAATCAAATAGATCTATTCGTATTATATCAGTTTCATTATTAGATATATAATTTATTTATTCTATCTTAATTATTAGGTTTTTGAAATAGTCTTTAACTATTAGACCATCAAAGAAATCTAATGGATCGATTGGATTTCAATACTATATCAGTATCTATTATAAAATTTAAAATATAATTATGTACTAGTGATAGGGTTTAGGATTTAAGATTTAGGGTTTAGGGTTTGCACATGCACCACCTCTCTTGTCAATGCTCATATGACTTGACAGAATTGATCTTAACTTGTCAGATATGCAAACCATGTTCATCAATCAAAGAAAACTTTTAATGATGTACAACTTATGATACGTGTTGTATCTTTGACTATTAAGTAGTCATAATAATCAAAGAGATCTATTTGATGGAGTTTCACACCGATTAGACACGCTCAAGTCAAGCCTACTAAGTTATAAGAGAGGGTAACCCTCTCATTCAACAAGGCTTTATTGGGTGAGGAGTCAGACCTACCTCAAATTCTATCACTATTTAGTATTATATAAGTTTCATTAGTAGATATATAATTTATTTATCCTATCTTAATTATTAGGTTTTTGAAACAGTCTTTAAATATTAGATCGTCAAAGAAATCCAATGGATCCATCTGATCTCAGTATTATATCATAGTATTCATTATAAAATGTAAAATATACTTATGTACTAATGATATGTATTATAATACAATTATCTGTTCTCAACCATTAATTGTTTAAAATTGTCTTTAACTTTAACCCATTAAAGATATTCAATAGATTGATCTTAGAGTTATATTAATTTCTGTTATAAGATATGAGTCATAATATAGTTATCCCATCTCAACCATTAGTTTTCTGAAATAGTCTTTTAACTATTGAAATATTGAATGAGTCTAATAGATCCATCATAGTATTGTATCAGTTTCCGTTATTATAATATGTAAAATGTACTTGAATCAACATGTACTCAAAACCTTATCTTTTTCATTCATGAAATTATCATGTTCAAGGGTTTAAGTCAGCACACGCATGCGTTTATAAGGTCACATTTCTTTTGTCTTTATCTCATCTTTGTTGATAAATTATTGTGGGACTGTGTCCTGTGAACAACAAGCTGAAGTAAATGGTTGCTTTATGGATGTAAGTCACATGAAAAATCTTACCATTTAACATCAAGAAATAGTTAAATGACAAAGACATCTTCGCCATTTTATAAAGCTGTAGACTTAATATAGTAAAACCCTATCTTTTCTACTTGAACTCTCTTCACACATAGAATCCCCTTCAATTATTGATTCCCAGTCTATTCTCTCATCTTTAAACCCCGGACCCCCACTCCCTTTAGTCTTTACACTTGAAGCTTTTAAGCTCAATTTTTGATACCCTCGTGTCAGAATGTATAGTACACCAAATTCATTCATCTTTCCTCAAGTTTGCTCTTACGTGGGCTTTGTAAGAGATCTGACAAAACTGCTGATAACCCAACATGTTTAAACCTTAAACTAATCAGTAATGGCAGTATATAGTCAAATTTAGCTGCATTAATGTGGGATTATTATTATTATTTAAATAAGCCACTATCTCAGCCTTTTTATGAAAGAGTTTAGAGTTGGAAGAAACAAGAAATACCTTGGAACTAGCAGTGTTGTTCCTTGAAGAATGCATAAACTTTATTCAAACAAAATGTTCAAGTGTTGCTAAATTTTCTAACAAACTTCAGTGCCGCCCAATAATTTCCACGTTTAGTTGTGTGATTTGTGCTTATAATATATTTTGTTTAGTCAATCACGTTTCTTTTAAAGGTATAATCTAGAAACACAAGAAAATGGAAGGAATCATTCCCCATAAGAAAACTGATTAAGAATTTCAGTTTCAAAGTATCTTTCTTCCCCTTCTTTAGGCTTTAAATCTCATTTTTTTTTTTGATACATCAACTTCAATCTACATTGTTTGACAATGAGTTGTTTGTAGTTTGCATAGTTCCCCAAGGAACTTATAATGTCCATTCAATACTATTATATATATATATATATTCCATTCTGAATTGTCCGATACTTTTGTTGTATTAGAACACGATTTTCCCTTGATCTAAACAGATAACAAATCTTAACCACTCATTCTTAGATGTATAAAAAATCAGGAGAGTTTAGAACAGAAAATGACAAAGATGTTATTTTATTGTAGATATATAAATGTATGTATATTCATGAGTTGGTGAGGGGGATATAAATAAAGAGGACCCACAATTTCACTTGTGTGAATAATAATTGCCTTGTGATTTGGTTTGTTTTTGATTGATGCTGAAGAAATTAGATAAATACTTTGAACGTTCCAAATTGATGTCTTTCACTATTTCAATGTATTTATGTGACTGTTGATTGGACCCATTTGTACTATGTCTTCTCTAGCTTTGCCAACAATGCAGTCTATCCTAAATGCTCATGAAAATTCCTATCCATTTTCTATATAAAAAGCACCACCACTCTTGTCATTAAACTCCAACTTGCTTATTATTAATATTATTATTTTTCCTAGTTTTCTAGGTGTAGTTTGAAGCTTGTAGGGACTTTTCCAGTATTGGGAACTTTCTAATTCCTTTGTTTATTATTATTGTTTTTTAGTCTCATTTTGTTCTGGATTTTAACCCTTAACAATCAAATAAACTTCACAAAATGAGAGTAGCTAGGCAGCCTGCTGCAGCTGTTGCAAAAATGGAGTGCAATTCTAGTGAAGAAGACAGTGAGTTAAGGAGAGGGCCATGGACTCTTGAAGAGGATACTCTTCTTACTCGTTACATTTCTCACCATGGCGAAGGCCGCTGGAATATGCTTGCTAAATGTGCAGGTAAATTTGCTTAGAACTCTGTTGATTCCAGGACTGAATTAGCTTTTGTTAATTATTCTGTGTTTGTTATGTTAATTCCAGGACTGAAGAGAACTGGAAAAAGCTGCAGATTGAGATGGCTGAACTACTTGAAACCTGACATTAAACGAGGGAACCTAACTCCACAGGAGCAACTACTGATCCTGGAACTCCATTCCAAGTGGGGGAACAGGTAAATAACTCGACTTTAATATCATATTTACAAGATGAAAGTATGCATATTTACTGTGTGTTTTGGTTACTGGGAACTGTTGCAGATGGTCAAAAATTGCACAATGTCTGCCTGGAAGGACTGACAATGAAATAAAAAACTATTGGAGAACAAGAGTTCAAAAGCAAGCTCGCCAGCTTAATATTGAGTCTAACAGCAAGAGATTTCTTGAAGCTGTGAAATGTTTTTGGATGCCAAGGTTGCTTCAGAAGATGGAGCAGAACTCTTCAAATTCTTCTTCTTCTTCATTTTCTTCTCCTCCTGGTTTTTTAACCAACTCTTCTCAGTCATATTCCTCCTCTACGCTGCCAATCACAACACTCATGTACAACACAAATCATCACTTCAGTGAAAACTCAAGTTTAGTTCCAGTCACCAGCCCACCTGAGCTCCCCTCAGATTTTACAAAAATCTCCCTGCAGCAGCCTCAAGAAATTACTCAACAGCCAACAGTTGATGCTAACACTGTCTACGGCAACCAAATTCCAAGTGAGAGTTACTATGTAGACTGTTGTGGGTATGACATGGAGGGGTTCAATCTAGGTGCCATGACAGGAATGGGCAGTTTCGACGTTTCGTCCTCCTCCGAATCCCAGGTGGCTGGTGGCGACTGGATGTCGAATGACATGATAGATGCCTTGTGGAACATGGATGACATATGGCAGCTTAGGGAGTAAGTAGAGATGGGCATCATCTTGACAGTGGGGGGTGGCATTTTTATTATTGGATGGTCCACCAACACATAATAATCAACTTGACTACTCATGATTATCAGAACATCAAAATCATCCACATTGAATTCAACAGTTATCTGATAACTCAAAGCATTATAGAGTACTATAGTTTATAAAGTTGTTGTTTCTTTTTCTTTTTCTAAATTATATGTTTCCAGTGTCTGGTTTTAGCATTGCCTATAAGTGTTTATTGTATAACCAATTAAATTATCTATAATAGATGTTATTACAGTGTTAAATATATCTTTGTTTTTAGAAGTTGTTATCAATGAAATGAATTCAATTGCTTCCTGACCCCTCCAAAAGCTTACTAAAAGAGAGAAGAGAGAGAACTTTGATTGGTGTCGTCAATTGAAGAAAATGGTTCACTGAAATGACAATATATGGGATCAAAAGTGGAGTCACATCTGATAATATGAGACACTCAATACATGGTAGTTAGAATAAGGAAACCAGATATCATATTATGCACTAGAAATTCAATAGAAACATGAATATCTCATAAAGCACTTTCTTTTTCATCTATTTTTAAGTTTGGAAGATAAAATTGGGACCCCATCATGGTGCAATATAAACCTCAAGCTTTTCTCATAAAAATCCACCCTAAAAAATGGCTCTCCACCATCAGAAAGATAGTTTCTTGGCATACCCTTTATCGTCAACCATCAAATTGCATAACAATCACTTCATAAATCAAGACCCTTGTGCACTTTATGAAGTGGGTGATGTTAAAGAAGAGACCCCATTAGGCAAAAAATTACACAATCTAATGATGGCCTGCAGGAAGCCAAGCATGCACATTAAAAAAGTTTCTTCTGCTGCATGTGATTACTTTAAATTGATCACTACTCACACAAATATTGACCATATAATAAAACAAGCTAGAAAAAAAATTAAAATTTGTTCTTTAGTAAAGATAATATAAATCATATACATGAACATGACTAAGAGGAAGAGGAAGATAAATTCGATTTGATTTTAAATTAGACTAATTAGTCTACATTAACCTTAATTATGAGAGATTAGCAGCCTCTTGTCTGCCATTCATAACCCTTTTTTTTTTTTTTGGTAATTGGGGTATCCGAGCTAACTTACTCGTACCTCAACTAATCTCGGGAGTCTATTAAATATCCTACAAACCTAATGAACTGAGTAAGTCATAATTATACATTGTGATAGGTGGCCTCAAGGTTTGAACATGAGAAGTCAAAGAAGAGAGCACACCTCCTTAACCATCAGGCCAATTCTTTGGGATTCATTCATAAGTCTTTTGAAATTCCCCTTCACATGCAACCAATTAAGCTTGTGAATTGAGACTTTGATAACAGTTTTTGTCATGTGAACAGTTCAATCTAGTAAAATACTGATGTCTCTATGTACAGGACCATTGAATTGATTAAGAAAACAAAATCAAATTTCAAAGGTTGTTAAAGACATTGACTTGTTTGTCTTACTAGTGGAATATAGAAGGCTGGTCAAAGAAACTTTCAGTTAAGATTGAGCCGGTTAATTATTAATAAAGAGGCCTTTTGACATAAGCTGGATTGGATTAGGATTAAGGATGAAGACTGATAGAGGTTTGGTCCAAGTCTTAGTTTATAAAAGCACAAAGAATAAAGAAATGAATTTTGTGGGTGGTGGTGAATGGTGGTTTGTGCAAGTGAAACAGCTAGCATTTGCATACCAGAAGAAAGAATTATTATAGCAGAGGATCTAACCTACAAAAGGGTTATAATCATCCAATCATATGACAGAATATGAATGTTTTGAAATGAGTTTATAAATTGACACTTCGCAAGCTGTTCATCAAAGTATCTAATTCTGGGGTTTCTTTTAAAGAGTTAAATGCATACATACACTTGCCCATGGTCAAATCAATAAGCTACCCTTAAAGTAAAAAAAAAAGGGTTGCATTTGATGCTAAGGTTTCATGTGAGGTGGGAATCTTGAAAGAATTGGGACACTTGGGCAATCAAATCAAAACATTTCACTGTCACACATAAACGTGAAGAGACTAAACTCTTACAAGAGAAGCTTTATTTTAACTTAATGGGGGGGGAAGAGTTCTTGACTTTTATAAATGATGCCATTCTACCCTCTCAATCACACTGCTTTCTGTCGGTTGTCATATGCTTAATTCTTTCTTTTCTCCTTCTTTTGCTCTGTGATTGAAATTGACACTTGTTTTGTTTCTTTCGCCAACCAAATTAGCACTTTAACTTACTTCATAATTCCATATTTAAAATAATCTTAACGCAGAATGACGTCGATATAATATCATATTCATAAAATTGATATTATTAGATAACAGTTTAGTAATCCGATGAGAATCTTCTCTCTCTTTGCAACAAAATAGTGTGAATGACAGTTTTTAAGGATTCAAATATGAAATTAAAGGTCTATTAAATATTTATTTAATTAAAGAGTAATGTTAGGTTCACAACCCAATCTCACAATCTTTGGCGTGATAATTCATCATTAATTAGTTCACAAATGGACAGACAAGACCATACAAGTAGGCGAGACTCATTTTGCAAGTTGCCACGTCAAAAATTGTAAAAAAAGGTTGTAAAATTAGATTGTAGACTTAACATTACTTAATTGAAAAATCCATGTTTATATGTAATCTCAAAATCATTAGATAATAGTGTGAATTTTCCCTCTTTTTGCTGGAAAACAGTGTGAATGACATTGTTCATAAGTGTTAAGATCTGAAACTAAGGCTAAGCTGAATGTTTTTTTACCAGAAAATTCTATGTTTATACATAATCTCAAAACAGAATGGCACTAGTACAGAGTAACATTCGAAAGGTTAACGTTATTTGACAACAGTAAGATATATATTTTTTTTTAAACAATTACTGTTCATGAATGGGATGAGAAGTTCCTACTATTCGTAGCAGAAAGTGTGAATGGAATTGTTTTTAAGGATTAAGATCTTAAATTCCAGGGCCACCCTGGGCAATCTCCACAACCCAAAATGCAGATAAAAAGAAGGGGAAATAATGGGGGAACTGTCATTTCAAAGGGGTACGACCAATGATGTTGAAAGGGCACCTTAAACCAGCACCCTGTAAAGTCTAAAGATAATANTCCATGTTTATATGTAATCTCAAAATCATTAGATAATAGTGTGAATTTTCCCTCTTTTTGCTGGAAAACAGTGTGAATGACATTGTTCATAAGTGTTAAGATCTGAAACTAAGGCTAAGCTGAATGTTTTTTTACCAGAAAATTCTATGTTTATACATAATCTCAAAACAGAATGGCACTAGTACAGAGTAACATTCGAAAGGTTAACGTTATTTGACAACAGTAAGATATAATTTTTTTTTAACAATTACTGTTCATGAATGGGATGAGAAGTTCCTACTATTTGTAGCAGAAAGTGTGAATGGAATTGTTTTTAAGGATTAAGATCTTAAATTCCAGGGCCACCCTGGGCAATCTCCACAACCCAAAATGCAGATAAAAAGAAGGGGAAATAATGGGGGAACTGTCATTTCAAAGGGGTACGACCAATGATGTTGAAAGGGCACCTTAAACCAGCACCCTGTAAAGTCTAAAGATAATACAAGTGTTGGTGAAAACCTCAAACACATGGCTGCCATTTGAGAGTTGGATCAAGCATGCCCCCCTTCCCCCAATTTTCTGAACATTCCTTTTCAGAGCACTAAAAGATTTTCTGTACAGAGCATAGATCCTCCTGCAAAGTTACCAAAATTATGCCAACACACAGTGGCTACTAATTACACAATCTCTTAATCGCCTTAATTCAATAGCTCAAAGCTTCAAGAGTTTGTGTGTGAATCTTTCACTTGAAACCCGGTGATCATTCCAAAAGTCGTTTTTGTGCTAAAAGACAGTTTCAGTCAATTTTCTTCATAAATATCTGAAAATCAAGACGTCGGTAAAAGAGAATGACTTGGATACGCAATTGGTAAATTTCAAGGTGATACTGTCAATGGGTCAAAAAAGAAAGAAACATCTGAACTTCCGGAAAACTTTCAACCCATTACAATATTTAGTATAATTGATTTGATCTATCTATCTAATGGTCTGGTAAAAGTAAAAGCTATTGTATTAACTGGTGAATTTTTACAAAACTTATAAAACATTGAACATATAAAAAGTTGGTCATACAGTTTGCCCCATTTCTTTCTCTGCCACAGGTTTCGATTTGCCAGGGTCCTACTTGCCACCTTTACTGTAGCTATCTTTAAGTGTGACCGTCCGATTGAAGACAAGTTTTTCTGGAGTGGAATCCTTATCAACTGTGAAATACCCTGAAATTAAGATTGAAACAGTACAAATAGTTAGATAATATCTAACAAGATGTAAAGCCATTTTCACAGTAAAGAGGTGTCTCCAAAATCACAAACAATCAGACCAATTATTGCATTTACGCTAGGCCTGCTTCAACATCTATCCATTTCAATGTTGCAAATAATTCAGGAATCTGAAACATTAAAAGAAACCAAGGGGTTGAGTTTACCTAGCCTTTCAAATTGAAATTTGTCCCCAACAACAGCAGTATGAAGTGATGGCTCAGCGAAACCACCATGAATCACCTCTTTGGACTTTGGGTTCAGATCAGAGAGCCAATCTTCAAGTTCAGCAGGATTCTGAAGCAATAAATGGATTAACTCATAAGAATCCATAGATTTCCAGAGGGAAAAGGAATGAAAGAAGATAATCACAGAGTAAATAATAGCCAACCTCAGATTTGAACAATTTGTCAAACAATCTGACTTCAACCTTAAGTGGATGAACACCAGGGGAAGGTTCAGCAACCCAGTGAAGAACTCCCTGTGCAATAAAGAGAGAATTTGAACCAAAAAAGAATAATAACAATACCAACCGCATCAATATAATTTCAAAACCCTGATTATTCACAGAACCACATTTATACAGAAAATTCCAGAATGACAAAAGAACAAGAAAGAATGAAAACCTTTGGTTTTGTCTTTTTGGAAGAATCATATTCAGCCCGGATTTCAAGAACAGTCTCATTATCATCAGCTAAAATTGCTTCAGTGCACTTTATAGGAAAAGCATATCTGTTTAAATAAAATGGTTATGGAACCAATTTCTACTCAAGTCAATTTCAAACCAGGAATCATTATAAAATACACATACCTTAGTAGGACAGATTTACCAGGAGCAAGGCCATAATAGTCTTTTGAATCTTTCATTCGAAAATCAGTGCGCTCAATGTACACAACATTTGAAAATGGAACCTGCAATAAGCAGAAAAAGCAGACAGCAGCTGAAGATTAAGAAATAAAACACTTGGAGCAAACTGATGCAAAACCACATTTATACAGCAACCAAAACTGAATACATAATGTCCCTAACAAGCTTAGATCTATTCTTGTCATTGAACTAAATGAAAATCTTAAACGGAAAGCAAATGAAAAAAATCCAATATTTTGCTCATTACCAAAATCCAACCAAAAGTTATGGTATACAAGTTTAGGCCAATGCCATCCACTAAAATAGAATATGAGCTCAAAGCCAAAGCCTAAAAAATGGAAAGTAATTCATGCAACTTGTTCAAATTTTGAAATCATTTTTATTATCTTAAATCGTAGCTGAGTAATCTCTAATATTCACCTTGTAAAAAGCAGATGCATCATCTGCTTGAGCGTCAGGCCATCTCTTGGCATCAAGGTGCATAATTGAGCCAGATTCCAGGTTGGTAATAACTACCTGAGAACAAATTAAAGATGAGTTGGAGACAGGAACGATAAAATTCCCAAAGAAAAAGTACAGACAAGTCACAGGATGCAGACCTTGAGAGGATTTAGCACAACTAATGTTCGAGGCGCTGTTTTGTTTAGTTCTTCTCTTATATGATGCTCCAAACGGTCCAAACGAATCAGACTACAATCACTGTATCACATGAATGACAAATGGTAAGGAAACTAGGAAAAATTAATAACAATCTCTTATGCATAAATATTGAACAAAGTACATAAAGTTGAACCTTCTAGTAATTCCAATTCCTCGAACAAACGAATTGATTGAGGTTGAAGTCACACCCCTACGCCGTAGACCAGCCAGTGTCATAAGACGGGGATCATCCCAACCATCAACATACTTGTTTGTCACCAAGAAATTTAACTGCAACAGAACATCAGCGGCAAAAAGTGTTGGATTCATTGTGAAACAGCAATGAAATGCATTTTGAGGCTTTCTATTAAAAATTGTCAGATATTTTTCTCACCTTGCGCTTAGACATTACAGTGTTCGAAACATTCAGTCGAGAATATTCCCACACATAAGGTTCGTAAAGACCCAATGAATGTAACAACCAGTAATACGAAGCACGACGTGTCTCAAATTCAAGTGTACACAGCTACATTAAACAATTTTGAAGTTAAACAAATATCAACATGCCACTTTACATAATCAACTGAACATAAAAATATTAGGAAATGAACAGAATTTATTGAAAGAGATAGCATGCAAGTGATAGAGATCTCACATAGCATGTAAGAGAAAGTGCAAGATACTTCAGAAATAAACTTAGTTTATAAAAGAGAAGGAGAGCAATCATTTTCTAGTCTTATTTTTAGCAAAGTATGAATTTCTCAGAACTCGGCAATTTTAACAGGCCTAAGTATGAATTTCACAGAACTCAGCAATTTTAACAGGCCTAGATTTTTTATGAGCTTATTAGATAAATAATAATGAACCAGAACACAGATGAGTGGCTGAGAAGGGGATACATTAAAAATATTTCTCTCAAGCAACATTAAAAGCATCACATTTGATAGTTTCTAACAAGAACTTTCAACATAAGAGGATTAAAGTCCAAAGAGAACAAAAAAGGGAGGTAAAAATTACTTGATGCATCCATTGGAATAAAAATACTCAAAAGAACCCCATCACAAAAAAACAGTGCTTGTGATTCTATGCAGTTACAAATGACCAAATAATTTATTTCACAATATTGATACTGTCAGGTCCAACAGACCAATGAATGGAAGTTGTGCTCTGATATCTTCCATCTCTGTTTCTGCATTAAACACGGCCCTACACTAGCACCTAGTCGTTCAGCTCAGGTACCAAGAATAACAATAACCTAGCATTACCAAACATACCAATCTTACTTGGAACTGCTGATCCACACATAACAAGTACGTGAAAGAAGCAAGCATTAGACACAATGGACAATTGGACAGAAAAATAACAAGTAATATTACAAGTTACTTTTACTAAATCAGACAACAAAGAAAGAAGTCCTAAAACATCGACTTCCTATGGGCAACTTGCCGTCCATCAATCAATTATTAATGACAAAACAATCAAATATGAACCAGAAAATGGGATAGACCAGAAGAATATAGCTCACCGAATGTGTAATATTTTCTATAGAATCCACAATGCAATGAGCATAATCATAACTTGGATAAATACACCACTTATCTCCTGCATGTGGATGAGGAGTGAACTGCAAAAGGAGAATCTCAGGTCAGTGAGATATAAAGAACTTAACAAGCTATGGTAATTAAAGATGTTTAAATAATACCACTTGCCTTAATTCGATAAGCGATGAGGTCATACATATTAAAATTGTCACTCTGCATGTCCTGTTTCATCCGAAGTGTCGCTTTACCTTCTTCAATCAAGCCTCTTCTCATATCTTCAAACAGTTTCAATGATTCTGCAATAGGTCTATCCCTCCAAGGGCTATTCATCTTCTTTTCCCTATACTCCTTAATCTCTTCAGGAGTCTAGAAGAATTGGTCCGATGTGAATCAAATTGCAAAATCAAAAATCAAAAATAAAACCATCAACATATAGACATATGAGTTATAACTGAACTCTAACCTGATGATCAACGTAAGCATGACCCCTCTGTATCAACTCCACTGCTAAATCATACAAATTTTGGAAATAGTCACTGGTGTAAGTGATCTGCATCAATTCAGCAGATTTACATGTCACAGAAAAGAAAGAACATCTCCAGACTATATATCACAAATGTAGAGACACAGTCAATACCTTGAAAGGTTCCCAACCCATCCACTTGACTATTTCTTCAATATGATCAATATATTCTTTTTTTTCAGCTTCCGGATTTGTATCATCATATCTGAAAATGACAAAGATCAGTAATCAAAACTCAGAAACATGTGGAACTGAAAAACCATTATCCTTTTCTGATTTGTTAAGTGCAGTGATGAAATTCAGATTTAAATCAACCATTCAAAAACTTACAGGATTAACCAATGGTTTGCTAACCTTGACATTTCTAAGGAAGGGCCATGTGGCAACCCTACACCCAATAAGCTAGACCAGCATGCACAACTGTAACTATAAAACACACCTAGATCTAAGAAGTGCATTGCTTGATTCAACGTGTGACACAACTATGTACATCTTGTTATGTTTAAGAATCACAATGCTTGTGAGTCGACTAACCATAATAAATATAAACGAGAAAAATAATAAAGTTAAACATATAGATGCAAATCATCAGAATACATTAAGGTAGGTGAATGGATGCATCACCCAATATATTATTCAGAAACTGTATTTGGAAAATCAAGGAAAGTAGATTTCATATTCTCAAAATACCACAAAGATTAATCTTACATATAAAATCATAAACAACTCCAAATACAACCAAAGAAGCAAAAAAAGTGAAAACTCACCTAAGGTAGCAACATCCACCTCTCTCCTTTGCCAAACCAAAGTCAACAAACATTGCCTGGAAAGGGTCATAAAATAGTGAACAACCATACTTCAAGCAGGTAGCAAATTCCAAAACTTATTCTCCCTTTTCATCCCTTTACAAGTCACCTAAACCTTGAAACTAAATAAGGCAATTACCTTTGCATGGCCAATGTGTAGATAACCATTTGGTTCAGGAGGAAAGCGAGTAAAGACCTTTCCCCCTGTCACTTTCAGGTGCTTGTCAAGCATCTCCTTCGAATTGCAACACCTCAACACAGTGCCATTACTTAAAGGTATTTCCGTATGTACCTGATAATATACAAAAAAGAGTAAACATATGACTTAATTTAAAGCAACCTGCAGCTGCAAAGCATTGGCTGGGCAATGACCTAACACATAGCCCAGATGACTTATTGATGGTGAAAACAATGAAACCACATATATATCATAACCCATCAATACAATGGAAAAAGTAATATAAAACAAAAAGCAAACAACCACAAGATTGATAGCATAAAAATTTTTTGGTAAAAAGAGGCACAAGAAAATCTATGAATTGTAAATACTAATGCAGAGAACAAGTAACCAAATTCACCTGGATATTATCTACTGGTTGAGGGAATATCAAATATGGATTGAGCTCTTCCTCAGACGGCTGTGCTGGAGCCTCAACCGCGGTTGGTTTATCCTACAGGGTGCAATAACACAACAGGTGGAGAAAAGTTATAACTTATATCCAATAAAAAGTGTGCCTACAAAATGAATAAAGTACGTATGTGGACTTACCTCCACTTTTGCAGGCTTCTCCTTTTTCTCCTTCTTCTTTGCAGGCTTCTCATTATCTGCTGCTGTCCTTTCACCAAGTAATTCATACAATTTAGCATCTATGAGTTGCTGTCAAGGAAGACAACAGAAAATTCAGAATAGTGTCAAAAAGAGATTTATATTCACAAAAAAACCAATACTTATCCAAATTATTGATTTTTACAGGGAAGAAGGAATCATTCACCTTGACAATCTTTGGATCCGCCCATGGTAGCCTCTTCCTAACATGTGCAAACAAATCACCCACTATAGACAAAACAATGTCAATTGCAAAAAATTATTCAAAATGCGCAAGTGAGAAAAGAATAGTGAATTGAACTCCAATTCCCATCCACAAACTCACATGAACAGAGAAAACAACCAGCTAATACCCTTGCTATGCATGAAGGTGTTGATTGAATGTATAGCATTAATAGGAAAATTAAAAAGAAACTAAGCTAAGAAATCTCAAACATGCAGAGAGGGAGAGAAAGTACTCCCTTACAAGTTTCTCTCTTCCCCCACTCATATGAGAGAGTGAGGAAGAGAGAGGATTTATTTCATTACATTTTTTTAATAGCAAGAAATTCTCTACCTTTCTTACAAGTTCTAAACTAGGGATAACTACCAGATTCTGCAACCTTGATAGTCAAAAAATTAATGTAATACGAAATTTGAACCCTTGAGTTTTCCAATCAGAGGTCTTAAACAGAAACATTCCCTCTCTATCTCACTCTCTTGCAGATAGCTATTAGATATGAGTTGGATGAAACCAATATAGAGTATTATAAGACTTCATAATGATGCCAAATAAATTGCACCAAGGAAAAGCTAATTCTAATCCAAATTTTGATCAAACATATTATATTTCTATACAAAAAAAATAAATCAAAATCAAGCACTAACCATTGGTTCGATAACGTAGCTCCAAAATTGAATTCTTGTTCTCTTCAAAGACTTCATTAACCGTCTTTTCAATATCTTCCACAGAAACTTCAACCCCTGTTCAATATACAAGGACAGAGGTGTAATCAATCCCGTACTTTTAGAAGGGAATGTTTCAAATAAAGAAACTATAACCATAATTAAGCTGTCAGTCATATATAGTTAATGATATTGCAATAGTTAACCAAAATCATTGCATCTAGTGACACACATTAAAGCAAAATCCTAAAGCAATTAACACCATGTATCAAAGGAGGAGTTGACTTTATCATACCAACACCACAGGTTTCTTCAAATTCATCGACTTTAAAATTCTCTGCACCAACACTTGCAAAAAACGAAAATGCCGCTTCTAACTGAGCTGGTGTTTTAATCTGCAAAATGCAACTCTATATGAAAACAATACACGCAAAACCTGTTTTCCCACAATCCTAATATATAACCAGACGGCTACACATCAAATACACGATAACTTGATGAGATTGTGCCACAGACCTTGGAGGAGACAACATACTGCAGCAAAGTTGGGCGATGAACAAGGGCATTTGCCGGGTGCTTTGTAGCAACCTGTCACCCAAACAAATAGTACCAAATCCTCAAATAAAATACAAACAAAACTTCACCATGTAATTTTGACTTTTTTGTATTCTTCAAACTTCATCAGAATATATATATCATGCCAGCAACTCCATTATCCAAATTCTCAAATAAAATACAAATTCACTGGGTAATTTTAATTTTCTCTATTCCTCTAACTTCCCCAGAAAGCAAAAAGGTATTAAATATATCATTCCAGCAATTCCATTATCCAGTAGATTTTTCATAAGAAAAAACATGGCTAAAGTAAATCAATGTTCAGACAACTTACAGTGTAAAGTAAATTCCCGATTCTTCGTTCACATCCGTCAGCAACAGCAGCCTGAGATTAACATCATAAGTTGATCACGTTTATTACGATACCGATACAAATAAGCTATCGAAATAATCTAAAAATTGAAACAAAACCCAAATGAAAAAGAAATAAAAAGGGGAAATAAAAAAGAGAGATAAATAGAGTAGAGCACCTCGTGAATGACAGCAGTCAAATTAGTGGTGACCTTGTTGTTAGCGATGGTGTTCTTCGCCGTTCGTTCATCCAAGCCGATCTTTAAGAAGAGCTCAAGCAACTCCTCTGCTTTCCCCTCTTTCACCACTACCATGGTTGATTGTTGTTGCTGCTAAAAGAGATTTTGAGAAGGGTTAATTAATTCTAGAGCTATCTGTTTTGTATCGTAATGTATTACAGCTAGAGAGTTAAGAACCCTAGCCCACTGAGAAGAAGAAGAATCTGCGTGCGTGTGTTTCACTGTTTTGGAGAATCTATAGAATCGATTTGGAAACAGTTCAAGATGTGAGTTTCAGTATATTTGGAAGAATAAATTAACACCCCTAAGTCATTGAGGATACCTGATAAACCCCCTGAGGTAGGGGTAATAACGCAGAACCCCCCACCGTTAGGACTTTTTCGTTAGTTTTAATAGGATCATCAGAGATTAGATGACATTAATGCCCTCAAACATATAATATAATAAATAATAAATTTATAAACATAATCCACCGCAAAACGGATCAGGGACGTCCTTGAATCCACCATAGCCACCCACCGTGCACCCACAACCATCAGCTCATCTCCATCAAAACCACCTTCACTAGTGCTTCCATAAATCCATAAACCCAGATATAGCACAAACAAACAAACTATACCAAAGGCACACAAAATGAAATTCACACCTACTGGCAGACTTATGCTTCCGATCAGGAAAAAAAATTACAGCCATAGACAATTTAGGTTCAAAGCAAAGAAATCCGTGAAGAAAGTTCGTGCAGAACTCAAATGAACACCCTTTGTCAGATTCGATTCTACATTTAATCATAAAAAAAAAAAAAAATCCATGTACGCAGTTTAATGGACAAAACGAATAACAATGAAACTAACCTTTGCCTTCTATTTTTTATACAAATCACAGTTTAATGGATAATTTCCCTCTAAAGCCACCGGTCGTGCTCTTTCTGTCACTGTCGTTGCTTCTTCTACCTCCTTCACAGCCTCTTGGGCAACCACCGCCACCCCTGAAAACAATGATCTCTCGTCTGCCAAAGCCACCGCCAACAAAGAAACAACAATGGAATGAGGGAAAGATGATTGGCAGTGGGGAAGAATGAGCGATAGAATTAACTATTAAGGTTATTAAATTAGGACTGAATTATTTAATTACACTTTGACTGGTTAAAATAAACGTTGCTTCCTTAACAGTACATTGCTGACAGGGGGTAACTTATTATTTGAGAAAATATAGGGAAAATTTTGAAATAAACTCTTTCGAGTTTCAAAAAGGTAAGGTATGAGGTTAGAGTAAATTTTTTTAGTCCCTGTAGTTTTAGTTTTTTACCCTTTAAGGATAATGGTTTCAAATACTAGCGTTTTGGTTCTTCTCGTTTCAAAATACTACTATTTTAGTCCCTTCACTAATAAAAGGTTAGCTGATTATTAAATTTATAATGCCCATTTTAGAAAAAAAAATAAAAAATTACTTGCACAAACAACACTAAATTAATTAAACACATTATAGACTACAAATTCATCACATTTATATAATTTTGATTTTCAAATGTGTAATGTATAATTTTTGTTATTAGTATATATATATATGTATTTTTATTACACATTTTCTTAAAAATGCATTTTTTATATCAATTTTTAATAAAATAAATTTAATATATGGTATTTTTGTCATTTCAATATAAATTAAATAGTCGATGAACCTTTTATTAAATCAGAGGGCTAATACAGTAAGTATTTTGAAATGATAAAGACCAAAACTCTAGTATTTGAATGTCCTTACAAGTAAATTAAAAGCACAGGGACTACAAAGGAATTATCTCGGTAAGGTTATAAATAATTATGTATGTAAAAAAAATTCTTCTTAGGTATAGTTAAATAATAAAATTCCGTATAATTAAATAATAAAATTCCTCTTGTGGTTGTAGAAATAATAGAAATCTCCTTGTAGTTGATTTTTCGATGTTAAAATAAAAGGAAAAGAGGCAATTTGGTAATACTTATTAACCCTTCATATTGATAAATTGTTTATGGTACACTTACATTTCACTAACAACAGTAGAATTTCTATTATTTCTGAAATCTGAGAGGATTTTTGTTATTTGATTAAACCTCAGGGGTCAAGTAAATCCCTGAATCTAAAATTATTGTATGTGGTTTTTGTATCAAGCTCAGGCCCACTCAAGGATATAGCTCGATCCAGATTGAGTTTATCAACTGCGATTGATCGACCCAGCATAAGCTCATCGAGCTATAGCTCGACCCAGCATAAGCTAGTCATGAACAATTTAAGGAGTTATTCAATCAATCCCTAGATTACTTCAAATTCCAGATATTGCGGGAATGACTGGATCAACGGTGATCACTGCGCAATTACAGCGCCCAATCACAAGGATATTGGAATTATGATTCAAATCAGTTCTAATCCCCTAAATTTCGTTGCTTCCTTTATACAAATCTTGTATATAAACCCCCATCAGACAATGAGGAGAGGGTTACGAATTTCAGATAAGAATTGCATTGTAAGCTCCCACAACAAACACAAAAACAAAGTAGACGTAGACTGTTAACCTAACCGAACCACTTTAAAAATCTCCTTGGTTTTGGTTCATTTTATTCATATCCATCGCTGATTATCACTAATCATGCACACATCGATTCCGATCCCAGCAAGGTCGATCGGATCTCGCTGGTTGGTACAAAATTCGGTACCAACAAAAATTATTAAAAAAAAAAAAAGAACTTCCATTAAATCACTTTATTCAATTTTTATAATTATTTGAAATCAACATATGATCATTTTTCATCAATAACCAAACCAAACAGACAATTTCATATTAGTTTTTCAGGTCAGTATTGCAATATAGACACTCATGACCAGTTAGTTTTAATCAATTAACAAAACCAAACACCATATGAAATATCGGAAGAAAAAAAAGTTCAAGAAAATGCCAGTTTATGAAATCACTAAAATTATGGACTTCTTTGAAAAATCTTGAAACTTAGAGAAACGTGAGTATTGAGCTGAAGTTCAGGGACTTGAGCAAACTTGGGATGGGACTGGGTCAGCTTATTGACCCGTTAATTTTCCAGCTTGTGCTTCAAGCAAAAGAATCAACTTTTGGAATTTCTTTACTGAAATAAAAAGATTAAACGTGATTAGTAAGCAGGATAAGAATTTAACACCGTGATTTAATTCTTGATGAATGAATAAATATATTCCTTAATCTTTATTCTGTGTAAGTGATACCATATGGAAAACCGCACCAACCAGCATCGATTCCATCGAAAACAGTTTTGGCTGAATGCCCCTTTTCTGTATGACATCTGACTCAACCTGCAAATGGCAGTGATTATATGAGTCAGTGACAAATTCAGTTGCCAGATATTCTTTTTCCATTTTTATCTTCGTTTAGCATTCTTTTTTTTCTCCGGGGATGATTGTTGTTTATGTACTTCGGTATATGGTGTAATCAATTAATGCATTTACATAGTAAATTTCTTATCCTGGACAATGGAGATTTAATTTGTTTATGTTGTAATTGGTGGATATGGTTCATAATTTGCATGACCTTAGTGGTTTACGGTATGTCTTATTAGTAATTTTGTTTAGAATTGATTTTTAAATATTTGAGTTTTGGTCAGGTTAGATCAAGTTAGCCCAAATGAGGTTAGATTTACTATTATATATACAATATTATAATAGTAAAAAACTTAATGTGAGAAAATATTGAGAGAGGAAAGAAATAGTTAAATTGTCGTTACTATTATTGTATTGTTGCAGGTTTTTGAAACTCAATAAAATCTTCTTTATCTTGAATGATGGACATAATTACTATATTGGATACGAACCGACCAGGGTAAATCGATTGTCTTTTTTACTTTTCTGTTTTTATTATTGTGTGTGTTGGCTTTATTTTTCAATAGTAATGCCATCGATGTCGTCAAATTTGCTTCAAAAATATGGTCACCATTGAAATCCAAGGGCCGATAGAGGGAGATCGAGACAGAGAGAATAAAACCTAATCTTCTCAAAGAAATTGTTAATGCTTGATTTTGACACCAACTATTCACATGTGAGAAATGCTAAGCAGACTTAGAAGTCACACTTGATATGGAAATATTTGGTTAAATAAAAGGTGGGAAGCCATGTTTAAAGTGGTTCATATGTTCAAAAGCGAATCCTACGTCCACTGATATTGTATTAATGAATAAGACCAGGTCACATTAAATGAGCTGTGTTAGAATACAAGGGAGAGAAAGTAAACCATTCTAGAGTGAGATTACCTAAAATAATCATCCCACAAATGAGAGAGAAGCCATCTATTTATAGTGGGATAAACCAAGGTCATGATTACTAAATTCTGCAAGTGGGGTGGATACCGTGCAAATCCTTCTCTACGTCCCATTGCTCACCTGCCTGAGTGATTTCCTCAATTTATGCAGGGATTGGACATGTGGACAATATCCAACCATTCGCTAGCCTAGCACTCACCCATTGCACTGATAGGAGCATGCCACTCACATCATTACGCGACGTGGGTGCGTGTGAACGGTCGTAGAACTTTCCCAAGTTCTGACTATCCCATGCTGACAAGACTTTGTGTCAGCTTTACCTTTTCAGGCATAACAGAAGTCCCCTAGTTTTTAAGGTTTGAGAATCGAACCTTGAGAACTTCATAATTATGCCTTGATTTGATACGTCCCAAATGACGCTTGGTCTATCCGACTTGGCTACAAATGAAGTCGCAAAACATTTTTCTATGAACAACCTGATATGGTCCCCTTCTGCAAGATTGACAACCTAGATCAGACACTATTCAATGTCGTATCAATGCATCTCTTATCTTAACCGAGGTCTGCGACCTGGTTATACTTAGCATATTTCTATCGAATGAATCACATCGTCCTGCAACTAACATGCAACGAAGAGTGTTCTATCCCAACGACCTCTTCAGATGTTATCCGTTGCGCTTGACAGCTAATCCATTAATGAGGTGTCCTTTATTCTGACAAACATGCCCTGTATGCAATAAATGTCAGCCATGTGCCTTAAATGCAAGCTATGCTGAAATGACATTCCTTATTAGAGCATTAAATGCGGATGGGGGCGCATTTAATGCGGAGGAGAGAATCGAGTCATCGCTCGATTTTTTCAATGGAGAGACACGACGATTAAATTGCCTAAAGCGTGGCGGTTACTCTGTCTCGCTGATTCATGACACGTGGTTGCGATCAATGACCAGAAAAGCATTCCGTCCAAACATCGCTCGGCTTCGGAAATCCCAATCGCCATTCCCTCCACTATAAAACTCTAGGCTCCCTTTAAGCAATGTCACAACACTTACATTTTCAGAGAAAAGCAAGGAGCTCTCGCGAGACCAGACTTCCAATTTTTTAAGTTGGTGCGCATCTTCTACTTACAGGGAGAAGTTCGATCCCCATAGCCAAAAAAGAAAGGTAAGGAAGGTCCTTTCAGTGCTTTTCTTTTTCCTGTTTTGAGTGTAGTTAACCAGTTGATAATGGTAAGTTTCTATAAGGAATAAATTTTTAGGAGCCAAGCCATTGGGGGTGGTCCCTAAGGGTTTTGCTCTTCCACGTCGTCGTACAAAATTTTGTACGAAGACTGAGTAATCTCCACGTGTCCCCCTTTTTTCAGACAGTAGATGACATGGACCCTATAGCGACCAGATCGGATGAGGGGACAAGCTCGCAAACGTTGGATGCCCTAGTGGGTCCTACACAAGAGATTCTGTCGGTAGCTACCCGAGACGAGGTACAGGAGGCATTAGACCAATATGTAATTAGCGTGGACGTCTATCGTTACCAGAACCACACAGCTCAGAATCTGCTAGAGGGAATGGCTGCGATCTCTAAAGCTATATTCAAGTGCGGAGCATTGATTCCTTTCCATCCTTTTATCAGGTCAATCCTCGATCACTTCGGGGTCGCACCTTTACAACTAACGCCTAACACGTATATCATAGCTGTGGCTATGTATATCATGTGCATCGAGTATGGCCTCAGCCAACTAACTGCACTGGAGTTCGCCTACGCGTACTATTTAAAGAAGAGCAAGGACAAAAATTCTTACTACCTCTCGAGGCGACCCA